ATATCTCCTTATCTCTGTCTGCTGTTAGCATGTTGACCTCTGACCTCTGCATCCCTCTCAGGTCAGAAGCATTGCTGTCAGTCACACCTTTAAAATCGAGAAGGCCCAGCGAGACCTGGGCTTCGTTCCTGAGAAGTTCAGCCTGACGGACTGTGTGGACCAGTACCTGCGGAGCCGACCGGGACGTCCAGCCGCCTCGTTCCCCAACACACGCTTCCTGTTCCTGCTGCTCCTGATCGGACTCTTCTCACTCCTGATCTGCTGGGAATAATTCTCACTTCTCAGAGAAACGCCGTGTAGGGTTTGAACTAGGGCTGGGACATATAGAGAATTGAAAATTACACTGTAAAAAAAATTCGGTTAAATTTACTGTAAAAAACCGGCAGCTGTGATTTACCGTACGGGAATACGGTAGCAACATTTTAGGTTTTACACACTTAAGTTAAATTTTCAGTAAAAATAAACTAAACATATTTAATTATCTGATGTAATGCTAATTTACAAATCTATTGAAATACTGTTTTCACAGCAGCATTTTTACAATCTTTTACCGTTAAAATAACGCAGCGTTGCGAATATCGCATGAAAAGATTCAAACCAGTTTAAATGTGTCTTTATATTGTAGCTTACAAAATTGAGATCATTAAAAGAGAAAAGTATTTTAAAATTAAAAGTATTTTTAAATTTTTTTAAAGTATTTTACGTGAATCAGTTTAGTCACCATGAAATCAGAATTGACAATTCTTGTTTTCTTGGGAATATTGCAGTATTTATTATGCACAAAATCATCAATTTTTGTTCAAAATCATGTTTACTCATAATCTTGAATCAAAATAACTTCCCCTCCCTTTTGCAGCGCTTTCTCTTCTCTTCCCGTTCACATGAGATCCACCAATAGCAAACCACAACCATCCAACCATCCAATCAAATTCTCACGGACAAAATCAAGCCCCGCCCCACATTTGTTCTTGTTTGAGAAGTCATTCGCTCAGATTTCCGTCACAGGGAAGAAAAGACCAGCGCAACTTCAGTTTCAAGCTGGCTTTGTACCGTCCACTTCAACAAACCAATGAATTTTCGCCATTTCTAAACACTTCTAAAATATGCATACTTCTGTTAAACTTATGAAATATAATTTAAAAACAGTGAAGTATAATTTAAACTAAGTGTTAACTGTATTTTACTCACTGTGTTAAATATTTTGAATATTATGGGTTACTACACTCGCTGCTTGCTTCAGATTATGTTGAGATTTCTATTGTCAAATGTTGATTATTGATTTTTATTTATTTATTTGTAGCTATATTGCTCAGCCCTAATTTAAACCGGCAAATTTTATATTGTATATTGGAGAACAATTGCCACCAATGGCTTACGATGCTTTTGGGAAACACAGATCAGATCTAACCACAATCCTACATCACTTTAGAAACCAATATCACTGTGTTGTAAATTGGAAATGTTTATAGATTTGAGGGGTTTGATTCTGGGTTTGTGTAAAATTGAAATATAACCTGCAGAGAAGCTTGGGAACTACACGTGACACTAGGAAAATGAGAATATCCTGCAAAAGTTCATTTATTTCAGTAATTCAACTTAAAAGGTGAAACTAATAGACTCATTACATGCAAAGTGAGATATTTCAAGCCTTTATTTGTTATAATTTTGATGATTATGTCTTACAGTTATGAAAACCTTTTCACAATATTCTAATTTTGACTTTGGGGTTCATAAGCTCATCAAAATTAAGGCTTGAAATATCTCACTTTGCGTGTAATGAGTCTATATAATAAATTAATTTCACCTTTTAATTTGAATTACTGAAATACGGTAGCCTAAATTAACTTTTTCACAATATTTGTAATTGTGATGTTGAAAAGTTATATCACTGAGATTATTTTACACCTAATGGACGAGTATTTGCTCACGGTCTTCCAGAGAATGAAGAGTATATTAATAGTTGCACTTCCTAAATGTGTGCATTACAAAATGATTGTGTTTTTATTTCAGCACTATATCTTTATATACATTCATATTCATACTTAACTCGACGAACACCATATGAACTGTTTGTGGGAATTTAACATTTTTGCATTTTAGGCATTTAATAAATACTAGGCAAACAATAAATGTATGCCATGCGTGGCATTCATGAATGCCAATGAAATGTTTTATATTCTGAAGCTGTGCTTGTAATGGTGAGTGTAAACTTGTATAATCTTTTGATTTTGCTTTGTACTTTACTGGACAGTCCAACAGATGTTGACTTTAGGACTTTGCACGTTGTTTTTCCATATGTTGTATGTCATGTAAACTACAACTGTGACATTAGACAACTGTTCAGCGTTTTTTAAATGAATAAACTGTGCTGTGAATCTTCTTATTATTAAAATATTGTATTATCTTCTGATTATCAAGAGCATTGAATTAATATTCCCAAAGACCACAAGTGGGCGCCGCGAGTTACAAAATAACACGTTTTAAAGGGATAGTTCACTTTGAAATTAATTTTTGGGATGTTTTAGCTTACCTCAAGGGCATCCAAGATGTAGGCGTCTTTGTTTCCACAGTATTTTTCCATTTTAATATTTTTTGGTCAAACCGTTGTTGTCTATCGGTCATTTAATGCAGGTTTAGTATGAAGGTAAAAAGTCAAAAAACATGATTTAATGAGTAATGACTCCTCGTAAATGTAAGTACACATTGATGGCCTAAGACACGAGTGGTTTGTGTGAGAAAATGAACAGTATTTATATAGGCCTAGTTTTTACCTCGTGTAACCATAGCAACGTCCAAGTGATCGGGTACGTCACTCATTGTTTACACAGAGATTTCCGAAGTTTTACCTTTCACTGTGAAGATCTAAACATATTTAGATATACAGGAAATCGAAAAATATCAAAATTGAAAATACTGTGGAAACAAAGACACGTAACATTAGCCTAACATCTTGGATGCCCCTGAGGTAAGCTAAAACATCCCAAAAATTAATTTCAAAGTGAATTATCCCTTTAAGCCCTTAAATGGCTTTATATGTGAGAGTTTGTTCTAATGAAAAATTATTTCTACAAAACATTAAAATAAGCTAATATTGTTAAGTTGATATGATTAAATAAAACCAGAACATCCATAATTGGGTCATTCATACAGTTTTAATTAGGCTACTGCATCGTTTGTAAAGTAAAATGTTAGTCATGCCATTATACATACACGATCACAGATACTCAAAAGGCATTGGTCTAGTCTATTGCATATTCAGCACCAGTAATAATTGTGCATTTCTTCAAGCACGTCGAATTTTATAATCTGCAGTTGATAACAGCAATAAATAATGTATAAAACTAAATCATTTTACTTAAAACAACGAACTCCGATTCCAGATTTATGCATTTATGCTGAAACAATCATCAACAGATTCAATTTTGTACATTCTCTCAACAAATATAAACAATTTTCATCATGTGGTTATCACAAATTGATTGTTTTATCTGCAAGTAAATGTTAGAAAATTAACAGACACGATATTTTGGTCTGCATTTTAAGTCATTGCACTATTTTTTACATTTCCAAGTCAAACTCATTTTTTTCCTCTCGATCACGAGAGCTATGTATGTTTCTACTGCACATTAAACTGATCACGTAGACCTCGAACACAACAAGCATATAATTCTGCAAAAGTTTGGCTGCCGTTTGAAAGCAAGAGACTTTTGTAGCTGCAATACAGTAGCACCATTTTCCTAAACACTGAAATGAAGCGATGAGATCAGCAATGCAAAACACCACAATATATATTTGTCTCCCTCGTGACAATATTCAAATGTTTCTTTGTCAGGAACAACTCATCGATGAACATTGGTTTTCACTGTCTGCATCTACGCAATACATTGATCCAAAAAGTCAAAGCCTGCTAATACTGTCATGAACTCAAGGCATTCAACAGCTTCAAAATGTTACAAAACGAACATGGCTGATCCTGATTAAGTGTTAAGTAGCACATGGTTTGCGTTTTGAAATACAACAGTTATTAAACACGTAAGCCGGTAATAATTAGATATTGTTAGACCAACTGTTCAACCACACTGACCAGAAAACTACTTGCATCAGAAAAAGTCCTACTTTGTGCTGGTGTAACATTTAGGTAACTCCGAACTAAAGACCCTCAGTACATCTCCATCGGGAACGTTCACATGTTGACCGAAACCCACAGGCGAGATCGAATTGAAAAACAGAAAGAATACTAAACAAAAAAATAAATAAAATCTCTGAACTATATTAACGAATGAAAACATTTAAATAAAAATATAACTAAAAAAAAAAAAAAAAAAACTGACCGTAGGCCTGTCTAAAGTGCATAGTTTCACAGTGGTGTTTAAATGAACGTCATAACAAAGTGCTGGAACATTTAACTACGATTTGCGCTAAACAAACTATAAACACACATTCATGTGCGAATTTCAAGCATATCGTTTACATATACAAGAGCTAATTCGACTATTTTTGCCAGCACATCAAACCATTGAGGTAAACTCTTAACCAGATGCTTTATAAAAGCAGCAAACAGTGTTGCTCAAGAAATCATTACAGTAACATTGAAATCACATGCAGCATTTTCTTACAGAAAAGAGAGAAGAAAAAGAATATTGCTTGCGAAATTTCTAGACACTCGGAATATTTGGCTACAAATTCTCCTACTGAGTTCCTTAAATCATTTTTTTAAAGGTTTTAAAGTTTATCAGGTGAATCTCCCCCCCCAAAAAAACATACCAGGGCCATCCCAGATAGCACAAGTCTTTTTGATGTAATGTTTACATCTGGAAGACGTATTTTTAAGAGTGTTTGCTACGTCTAGGACGTTTCCTGTCAGATGTCAAATAGACGTTTAGAAGATATCTTTAAGATGTAATGATTTAGAATGTTAAACTGACATCTTCTAAACGTCTATTTGACATCTGACAGGAAACGTCCTATAGACGTAGCAAACACTCTTAAAAATACGTCTTCCAGACGTAAACATCACATCAAATAGACTTGTGCTATCTGGGATATTTCAATTTTCAATAAAATGTATTCATTTAGAGTCTGGAGTGAAACTTCTCATTCTCGTTTTGGGAGGTTGACCCCAACATGCATTTCATTTGCATTACGTTAGTTCATTATCTGTGTTAGTGGGTTAGTCATAATAATTTAGTCTCTGAACATCGGACGTTTAAGTCTTAAAGTCTTACACAGACGTGGTTCTACGAATTCAAGAGGTGCTGGCAAACCCAAAGCACAGATTCGCTCGGTATGGCTGTAATCGCAGAGGTCCACGAGTCTCAAATTTACGGGAATAAGACTTACGAGATGAACGTACAAAAAGCCTGCGTTCTGCCATTGCAGGTTGTGGACGGTTTGGTGTAGTATATTGTGTATTTAGGCACTGGTGTTATAGTGCAATCTTCACACACATACACACAAAGACTGTCTGGAAGTGCAAAGGCCCAGATCATTACACTAAGATGTATAAATCTGCCCGGGCCTGTTCTCACTCAGGTCCTCTTTGGTTTTCTGAATGCAGGTGAAGATCTCTTTAAAGAGGGCCTTGTATTCTGGCTGATGGAGCTCGTCCCTGGTCTCGGTCGCGGTGCTAGCTTGACTCTTGCGGCGCTGTAGTGTGTTGGCGGTGGGCGTCTGCACGGCCTTGTGGCTCAGGCTGTCGGCCCCCTGCTGGCAGCGGCGGAGCAGCTCCTCGTACTTCACCTGGAGCGCGCTGTACTGCGCGTCCACCTCGTTGAGCAGGGAGATCCCGCGCTGCTTCACCGCCTGGGCCCGGCGGATGCACGTGCGCTCGTGTCCGCGCCGGATGTCCTCGGCTCGAGCGCCTCGGATGAAGCTCTCGCTGCTGCAGCGACGCCTCCCCTGAGGAAGCTCCAGGCCTTCCTCCTCCTCTGGCTCCACCCTCGTCCTCTCATCCCCACCGAAGAACACGTTATCAGGGAGCAGCGCGTCCGTCAGCCTGGCACCTGTCGACTCCGAGCGCCAGAGCTGCCGCAGCTCCTCCACCTCGGCCTCCAGCTCGGCCTGCCGGCGGCGCGCTCCCTCCAGCGCACTCAGGCGCTCCTCCAGCGCGCTGTTCTCCTGCACCGTCAGCTCCGCCTCACGCTCCGCCTCCACCCGTCGGGCTCGCTCCGCCGCTAGCTGCAGCTTGAGGTTGTGGAGGGTGTGCTGAAGGGTGGAGGTCTCCTCCACCTCTACCTCCACGCGTCTGTCGTCCAGCGCAGGCCAGGACTTCTCCTCAAGCAGGCTCTCGGAGCTCAAGCACCTGGAAGACAACAGGATCTTGAGTCCCCTGCTTTTCAACATCAACCATTTCTTCATGAGTCGGTTTTTGTAGCCTACAATTAGTTTACATGCATCCAACGTCAAGAAAGAAGAAATTATTTGATCATAATATACACTGTATGCATTTCTCATACAATTCATTATACATCTACTCTGCTCTGATTGGTCAACTCTGCTCTGATTGGTCAGGTGACCCAGTCTGTTGTGATTGGTCTTCTCTGCTCTGATTGGTCAGATGACCCAGTCTGTTGTGATTGGTATACTCTGCTCTGATTGGTCAGATGACCCAGTCTGTTGTGATTGGTATACTCTGCTCTGATTGGTCAGACGGCCCAGTCTGTTGTGATTGGTCTACTCTGCTCTGATTGGTCGGATGGCCAGTCTGTTGTGATTGGTCTACTCTGCTCTGATTGGTCAGATGACCCAGTCTGTTGTGATTGGTCTACTCTGCTCTGGTTGGTCAGATGGCCCAGTCTGTTGTGATTGGTATACTCTGCTCTGATTGGTCAGATGGCCCAGTCTGTTGTGATTGGTCTACTCTGCTCTGATTGGTCGGATGGCCAGTCTGTTGTGATTGGTCTACTCTGCTCTGGTTGGTCAGACGGCTCAGTCTGTTGTGATTGGTCTACTCTGATTGGTCAGATGGCCCAGTCTGTTGTGATTGGTCTACTCTGCTCTGATTGGTCAGATGACCCAGTCTGTTGTGATTGGTCTACTCTGCTCTGATTGGTCAGACGGCCCAGTCTGTTGTGATTGGTCTACTCTGCTCTGATTGGTCGGATGGCCAGTCTGTTGGGATTGGTCTACTCTGCTCTGATTGGTCAGATGGCCCAGTCTGTTGTGATTGGTCTACTCTGCTCTGATTGGTCGGATGGCCAGTCTGTTGTGATTGGTCTACTCTGCTCTGGTTGGTCAGACGGCTCAGTCTGTTGTGATTGGTCTACTCTGCTCTGATTGGTCAGATGGCCCAGTCTGTTGTGATTGGTCTACTCTGCTCTGATTGGTCAGATGACCCAGTCTGTTGTGATTGGTCTACTCTGCTCTGATTGGTCAGACGGCCCAGTCTGTTGTGATTGGTCTACTCTGCTCTGATTGGTCGGATGGCCAGTCTGTTGGGATTGGTCTACTCTGCTCTGATTGGTCAGATGGCCCAGTCTGTTGTGATTGGTCTACTCTGCTCTGATTGGTCGGATGGCCAGTCTGTTGTGATTGGTCTACTCTGCTCTGGTTGGTCAGACGGCTCAGTCTGTTGTGATTGGTCTACTCTGCTCTGATTGGTCAGATGGCCCAGTCTGTTGTGATTGGTCTACTCTGCTCTGATTGGTCGGATGGCCAGTCTGTTGTGATTGGTCTACTCTGCTATGATTGGTCAGATGGCCCAGTCTGTTGTGATTGGTCTACTCTGCTCTGATTGGTCGGATGGCCAGTCTGTTGTGATTGGTCTACTCTGCTCTGGTTGGTCAGACGGCTCAGTCTGTTGTGATTGGTCTACTCTGCTCTGATTGGTCAGATGGCCCAGTCTGTTGTGATTGGTCTACTCTGCTCTGATTGGTCAGATGGCCCAGTCTGTTGTGATTGGTCTACTCTGCTCTGATTGTTCGGATGGCCAGTCTGTTGTGATTGGTCTACTCTGCTCTGGTTGGTCAGATGGCTCAGTCTGTTGTGATTGGCGACTCTGCTCTGATTGGTCAGATGGCCCAGTCTGCTGTGATTGGTCTACTCTGCTCTGATTGGTCAGATGGCCCAGTCTGCTGTGATTGGTCTACTCTGCTCTGATTGGTCAGATGGCCCAGTCTCGTGTGATTGGTCTACTCTGCTCTGATTGGTCAGACGGCTCAGTCTGTTGTGATTGGTCTACTCTGCTCTGATTGGTCAGATGACCCAGTCAGTTATGATTGGTCTACTCTGCTCTGATTGGTCAGATGACCCAGTCAGTTATGATTGGTCTACTCTGCTCTGATTGGTCAGATGACCCAGTCAGTTATGATTGGTCTACTCTGCTCTGATTGGTCAGACGGCTCTCCAAACTCTTTCAGTCTCAGCTACAACTACAGTGTTTGAGGGTCATTGTTTGCAGGCAGCCAGTGAAGACCATAGGCTGGCATTATGCTAATTTGTTACAAGTCTATGTAGGTTTGTGCAGAAAGTGAGAAACTACTAACGACTCGTTTGAGCAGTTAAGAATAACTCCTCCTGCAATTTAATCTTTTAAACCTTGCAGAACTTTTACATTCAAAGACGGCTATAACACTATTACACTGTATTAAAGATAATATCATACAAAAAACAAAATAGGGGGCCTTATTATTTTATTTCTGTTTTGCAACCAAAAAGGAACCTGTTGCTAATTGCATCACTGTTTTCTTCTAGGTCTATATTAGCCTCTCCTGCTGAGTTGGATTAGATCAGGGATTACAGGATTATGGTAGAAGGGCCGGGTCAGATTATGATGTCTGGCTTTCGAGGCCCTTAAGATGCCCGGTCAGCACGTACTAACGCTACAGGCGGGCCGAGTAGACGTATTAGAGAGGTCATCCACGAGCTGGACATCACAGAAAAACGTCTACTTCAATTAGTCCAACAAGGGTCCAGCGGCTCTAATAGAATTAAAATGTTAAAGTCTAATTAAAGATATTTGTCTATTAGTCTGTTAAAGAGGTTTGACTAACACAAATTACTTACTAAAACAAGACGTTTGGACTGGGCATGTCCTTTAATTAGCCTTGAGATTATGTTAAAGCCGGGTACACTTGACATCTCGTACCATGAATGAACACACTTTAAATTAATTTGAGGATTTCTCACCATAATCAACTCAAAGCTGCAATATCTTTAATAACAATACACCCAAAGAAGACTTTCCACTGACATGTTGAGACATGAATGCATGGCTGTTTTCGTGATGTTTATGAGAATGATAAGGGTTTGATGGCGTCATTGTGGCCCCAGACTCACTTGTCTTGCTGCAGATCATAGATTTCTTTCAGACAAGAAATGCTTTGGGCACCAAGGCTGCGGCGCACCCCTGCGAGATCTCGCTTGGACTGGGACATCTTCAGTTCGTCCACCTGCTTCTGAAGGCCCTCCATGTGAGTCTGCAACCCATCTATGGTCTCAGTCAGACTGCGGATAAAGAGTAAGAGTCACGTTAAGAGAGGCCAACATCTCAGGGGGACCTGGACTCGGACTCGTCCTCACCTCTCGATCCGGTGTTGGGAAGTCCGGTTCTCCAGCACCAGCCTCTGGTTGCTTTTCTCCAGGTCTCGCGCCGCTAAGTCCAGCTGCTCATAAACTTTGGCGTGCTGGTCGTTCATCTGCCTCAGGAGATCCACCTGCTTGGTCAGGTACTGCAAGAGGCAATACAGACACAAGCCTTCAAATTAGTCGGATAGTCAATAAATCGGACGCCTGCTTTCAAACGCTCAAGTGTGTATCTGTGTAAGCACATTGATGTATATTTACGACATGTTTTTAAAGCGCTGACTATTGTAGCCAATCACAGACATATTTCAAGAGCGCGTGAACACAATGGCCAATCAGAAGTGTTTACGATTCCACTCAAAGAGTCAAATTTTTTCAATTCCAGTATCCACTTGGTACTAAAGTCGATACATTTGACAACTTCAAATATTTGCTTAAGTTATCAGACAGATCAATATGCACTTACACACAATAGACACTGTCTAGAGCTAGGTAATATCTTGAATATTCACAATTATATAGCTGATAATACAATTTAGGAACTTTTTGCTAGGCTATAAAGTCTCCCAAAGACCTTGCTATGAACGCAGAAACACTAACATTTTATTAATGCTCCCTAGTTATATTTTATACTAGCCCTAGTTTTTTTTTTCTTTCAGAAATGTATTTTTATAATATGGACAGGCACATTACATTACATAATTCCAGATGTTTGGTTCTTCAAAAGAAGCAAGAGATGGTTAATTAAAATGACAAATATCTGGATTTTTTTTGTGTTTTTAGCTTATTTTAATGCTCGTTTTGTGTTCTTTCAAGTTATTTTGATGCCCCCCCCGACACTATTCCAATGTTTTCTCCAATCAATATCAAAAGCTTTTTATCAAAAGCACATTTATCATCATCACCCCTGAAAGTACACAATTGACTTCATTTAGACTTAGCCAATGCTAAATATGCTCTCTAAAGCATCTGTTGTTGAACCACAGCCACAAAACTGCAACAAAACTCACAAGTTACAATGACATTTCACAACCAGATGCACTAGTGACTGTGCAAACATTTCCCAGCTCTAGTCTTTCGTAAATGTTTCACTACATGAGACGGAAGAGTGACTCCATGTTGCAATTAAACACTTCTCACTGCATTGTTTCTGAAAAGTCAATATTTGGCTAGAGAGATATAGAGTTATAAAGCCAGGATCAAGTGAACATTAACCAATCAAAAGCTACTTTACTGTTGGACACTAATGCTGATGAAGTCTGCTTGAGATGTAATACATACTATATATACTGTTTAAGTAGTACATCAGAGTATCCAGTGCATTATGCAACAATAAACATTTGATATGCTACATTTTTGTTACACAACTTCATCACTTGGCATATGCAAGTTATCATCTCTGAAATAAATACAATTAAGTGCATTTAGCACTTCTGAATGAGGTAGTCCCATCAAATAATGGAAATGGTCGATTGATCAGATGATGATATTCGTATTTATTTTGGGTTTATTTGTAATAATGTAAACCACAGAAGGTTCAGTCAAGCGTACACTGCACATATTGTGCAAACATGATGGTCATCGTATTCTGAGCATACTATACACACTACAAATAATAATTAAAAAAAAAAAGAATAGTACGCCATTTTACACACTAGAAAACCAATTGCATAAGACCGTATTGCCAAGCCAGGCCATTAGCCAAATGACACCACAAATCTCACGGTTGGGGTGATGCCAGACACAGATACGGTGTCAGAAATAGCAGAAGTCCCGCTGCCCGATGTCCTCAGCGCGAGGAGGAGGAAAGAGAATCAAACAGGAAATCTCCCGCTGTTTACGCATTCCCATAAAGTGAAAGACTAGTGGAGTTCTTACGAGTACAGAGACACTGCTACCAAACAAACTTCTACTTTTCTAGAGGATGAAAGTCAGACAATGTGTCCATTTCAAGGCAAATTAGGTTACAATGTCATGTTAATAATTGCATTCTTAGCTCAAGCAACTGGCCTCCATTTCTTTTAGGTTTCCCACCATTTTAGGGGCTATTTACACAACAACGTCATTTTATCCCTTAAAACTCATCTTTGATCACCAAAATTTAGGGCTGTCAAACGATTGATCGCGATTAATCACATCCAAAATAAAAGTTTGCGTTTACATAATATGGGTGCACTGTGTATAATTATTTTGTGTGTGTGTGTGTGTGTGTGTATATATATATATATGAAGAGTTCAGATGCAAAAGCCTCTAAGTGCCGTTTGAAATTTTCTTCTAAAATTATCATTTTTATCAAGCTCTTATATATTTAAGTTCAGTAATTTCACTTAATGGCAATGAAGATTACCTATTAATTGTTATTTAAGTGAAATAACTGAACTTAAATATACAAGTTTGATAAAAATGACCATTCTAGAACAAAATTTCAAATGGCATTTAGAGGCTTTTGCATCTGAACTCTTCATATATAAATACACTCACATGCATGTATATTTAAGAAAAAAATATTATTTATATAAAAAATATTTATATTTATATATATATATAATATAAATTATATATATAAATCTACAGTATATACATGAAAATATTTCTTAAATATGTACAAGCATGTGTGTGTATTTATATATATATAATAATTATACACAGTGCACGCACATATATTATGTAAACACAAACTTTTATTTTGGATACGATTAATCACAATTAATCGGTTGACAGCCCTACCAAAATTAAGCATTTTTTTTCCTAGAAAATAATTATTCATACCTTAAAATAGCTTGAATGCAACTCTACACCCTTGCCTCGTTTAGTAGGCTATGCGTGATTATATGAATATGCAAATGAGCCCCGCCTCCAGTCACTCACTCAGCTCAGAGATCCACTGGTTGACGATCACACGTTGATCTAAATGGTTACAAGGTCGTTTGTGACGTCAGAAACACCAGCGATTTCAAACCGTGTTTTTGAGACTGTCTTTGGACTGCCGTTTTAAGCAGAAAATACTCCACAATGGTGTGGACTTATGAATTTACACACGGTTTATCTTAAGCCATATTAAAAACACCACATAGACATATAAACAACAATAAAAGCTTGATTTTCACCACAGGTGGACTTTAAAAACAGAAATATTATGTGGTTTGGCTGTTCATTTACACTACAACAGAATTCTGAAAATGCAAACTTGTGAAAACAGGATTCAAAGTGCAAGTTTTTTGAAAATGATAATTACCTATTAATTGTTATTTAAGTGAAATTACTGAACTTAAATATACAAGTTTGATAAAAAATCATCATTAAAGAAGAAAATTTCAAATGGCATTTAGAGGCTTTTGCATCTGAACTCTTCAAATACACTGTTTTAACAGAACGTGAACGCAGGAACGGAGGAAACCCGAAAGAACAGCTCTATACAACACAAAAGGACATTTCAAATCCACAGAACACCATCCGTACACAATCTGTGCCACCGGGGAAGAGTTAAAGAGAACAGAAGTGGTGAATGTTGTGCGAAGCGTCACCTCGATCTCCTGCAGCTGCTCGTGATTGGTGGAGTACATCTGCTGTAGGCCCTGCTCCAGCTCATGGTTCCTGTCCAGCAAAGTCTTGCCCAGCTCAGCCGCCAAATGGAGATCTGTCCCGAACACAGACGGAGAAGACAGTAAACATCGAGTATAGTAGACGCAGAGGGTGTTATCCTGCCAAACCCAGCGGTGGGAATCAACAACCAGATGCCCAAACAGATCAACAACAAGTCTTTCCACAATAGCATCACTTTTCAGGGATGATTCACAATAGCAGTCCTCAAATTAGTAGTTTGACTGGTTGTGCATGATGCAATGCCACTCGTGGGTTTGTTTGATTCCCAGGAAACACACACATATGCTACTAAAATGTGTCCCTTACATATGAAAGTTGCTCTGGACAAAGCATCTGCCAAATGCAAACACTAAATTGAGAGTGAAATAAGATAATAAAACTATAATGGACATGAAATTGAAGTCAGATTTTGAGGGATTTCATATTTGTTAGGCATTTATTAGGAAACAAACATGCAGAAGAATCACAATCACTCTTAAAAATAGAGGTTCTTTATTGACGGCTCCACAAAGAACTTCAACGTCACCTTTTCAATGCACAAAATATCCAGGAAAACTGATTTTAGATTATAAAATCTTCTTCAAACTAAGAAAGAAACAAATATTCTTTTAAATTAACCCAAAATGGTGTGTATAGTAGGCTACACATTTCACTGCATATAGCCTACATTACGAGACATGTGGACATTTTTTTTCTCCAGTTTCCTCTACACAGGTTTCAGTTTAACCAACTAATATTCTATACACTGTGAAACGACGAATATACTAAAACCAAACATCTTGAAGTATAAAATGTCTCAGACGTGTCCTCGTCGGCTGATGACGTCAGGAGTGCGCATTTAAAGGGGTTTATATGGGCGTGACCTTCACATAGACAGCTTAAACTCTGCCCTACTAACAATAGCTAACACTTTTTTAATTCATTTCACACACGATTTACAAGATAATAGATTACCTGACCTTCGAGAAAGTCAAATCATATGCCCGTTGATGCCCTTATCCATGTATTTCTAGTGTGTTACAATCACCCTGTATAATGATGAATGGCAATATTTCTAATTAAATGCCTTTTCATGAAAAGCACAGGTCTTTCTAACATGCTATATGTGCGCATTGCTAGTGTATGAGTCTTACCGTGCTCCAGATCCTTCCTGCTGTACCACATATCATCCTCATTGCGTTCAAAGTCCTCCTCTACTATCACGTCCGTCAGCATCTCGACTGCAAACACAGCTTCGCCGACTGGAAGCGCACGGTTACTTTCTTATCCTGGTTATTTTAAGGCATCAGCGCCCTTTGTCCGATGGATAGACGCCGGTGAGCCGGGCTTTTGAGGCTTTCACTGGTTCAATCCCTAGCGGTGTGAACCGGTGTTTACAGCAACGTGGCAGAGTCAGACTTCAACTGAGTGAAGAGAGGACGCGAGGATAACAACAAGAACGGATCTTCACGCTGGCCAATCAGAGGACGGGGGGCGGGTTTTGACGTGGCCACGGCCACGCCTACTTTGGAATACCAGGAAATGTGGACCACTGTTTTTAAAATGATCTCAGTTGTGAATGGATAGTTTTTCTAAATCGTTTTAATTTTTTTCTATCAACATTCCATTGATAGGGTTGGGGAAATTAACTAATAAGCTACGACTGCATGAGGTTTATAATAGTGTTTCATTGTATTTTTATTGTCCTTTTATTCCTGCACGTCAAACATCCGTGTTATGAGAATCATGAGGTCCTTTGCTCTTAATCCCGCTGCTGTGGCTTACTCCATGACAACGCTGGGGTCTGCCATGATGAACAGCATGTTTAGTTTCTACTACGTAAAGCTTTTCTTGAACAGGTACAAAATATCAGAGACAGCCTTTCACCAGTCACAGGTGAGTTTTCACAAGTTTTAACATGTTCCTTTGCTATAGAGTTCATGCTTTCGTTTCGGGTATATTGATCTTCCTGTAAACTATAGGTTTAATTATACATTTAATGTGTTATCAATTGAAACCTTAAAAACATCTGCAAACACTATTATCTTTAAATCGATTGTCGTTGGAGGAGCGCGGCCAGCAGCCAATCAGAAGCCTGATAGCACACTTACGTCACGGAGACATCTACTGTCTACATTTACATCTTTTTTAAATTTATTTTTTATTTTTTTAGGATATATATGATCATCTGCAATATGTCTCTAAGACGTTTCCTGACAGACGTTAAGTAGACATTCAGAAAATGTCTGAAAGTGTGTAAAACTGCTCTTTCTAAGACGTTTATCAGATGTTTGAACAGTACATGTTTTCCAGATCTGCTCTTTAGAAGACATCTTTCTCTTCTCTTAAAAAAAAAACAAAAAACAAAGATGACATCTTCTTAATATTTACAATAATTAACATAATTACAATAGTACAATACACAAAAAGTTTCAACTGTATGTTCAATGTTATCAGAATATAGAGGAGGAGGGGCGGGGAGAATTAACAAAAATTGGCTAAAGACTGAAATAGATTTAAAAAATAAAATAAGAGAAAAGAAGAGGATACAAATAACATGAGTGTAAGATATTAATTCATACACCAATTAGGAGGATATAGAAAAAGTCATTGCAAACTGAAGTCGTTTTACTTGCTTTTCTTACAGAAGTTCAGATTGGTTTAAAATAAGACTTTAATGGTTTAAAGCTATTTTAAGTTCTTCCAAAAGCCAAGAAAGTTTGATTTGTTGTCAGAAAACTTACTCACAGACGATACATTAAATTGTCAACAAAGCAAGCATTGTTTTTTCATTGTTTTTTAGAGTCACAATCATAGAAAAATTAGAAAAATGTCTAATTAAATTAGTTACTTATGAAAATGTTAACAATTACAGGGGGGTTACATAAGAAAAGTAATCAAATGTAATCAGTTACATTACTTTATTAAGGTCATTTTAAAGTAAATGCCTTAAATTTAATTTTAAATAGGGTGTAACCTATTACATTTCCAAAGTAATCTAAGACTCGGCTTAGAAGAATCAGCTTCTAAACAATGTCACGTAATGTTACATTTACCTCAGGAAAGCCATTTAATGACAATATTAGCATAGTTAGCTAAATATATTTTGCTAAATATATGCAATATATTACACATTCATTCTTTTTTTACTCAAATATCCATTCCTCCAATCTGTAATTCTGTCTCGAACTGAACTCAAAAATTGGCAGCCTTGCATTACATCACACATAGGCTAGCTCTCCAATCAAATCCCCATGGACAAATCCAGTCCTGTCGTACACTGTTTCTTGTTCGAGAAGCAGTTTCACACGAATATACGTCACAATAGAGAAGAAAAGACTATCGCAACTTCCGTTAACTTTAAAGGGGGGTTGATTGCGATTTCACTTTTTTCATTTTAAATAGTGTGTAATGTTGCTGTTGGTGCATGAACAGTATCTGCAAAGTTGCAGCGCTGAAAGTTCAATGTAAGCAGAGATATCGTCTTTTAAAAATCAGGAAGTATATTGCCAACAAAAACGACTCGATTGGGACTACAGCTGGGTTTTAGACATCACTAACCCATATATTTGCATCAACCCCTCCCTCCGGAATGTGCAGGAAAAGGCATGCGCATATTTCTGCGGCTTGTCGAGTGTGTTATGTTCACCCAGCTGTCAGGTCTTATGTGTTTGAGCTTCCCACGGACGTACATGTACTTCTTCAACAATGGATACAATTTATGTTTGATTATGTTCCTGAAAATGACGATCGTAATTTAGCTCTCTGTGCTGCGCATTTTACGAGAGACAGCTTCCAAAATCTCCACGAATTCAATGCCGGATTCAACAAGAAACTGTTACTAAAACATGAAGCAGATCCGACTTTAAAACCAGAGGCAGCAGTTATTGGGCCACAACCTGTAAGTAGGCTTAGACTTAATCATTTTAAATGCATGTATAATTTCAGACGTAGCCTTGTGTTCTACTTTAAAATCTTGAATTAATGATATCTGCAAAACATTCATGTTGGTTGTGTTCTGTTTACCCTAATCGGGGTTATTGCTCTTATCCATCCTAGGCTACATGTATGCGCAGGGAGTTCTCGGCCAGAACTAAACCATACCGCTAGTGATGTAGTACTCGAGTCTGAGTTTTGGAATCGTGACCGGTCTCGAGACCGATTTCTGCTTTCTCGGACTCGTCTCGGACTTGTTCCTTCAAAGACTCTGTCTTGACTCGGACTCGACTGTATTTGAAAACCAACGGACTCTGTCTTGACTCGGACTCGACCCTTCAAAGACTCTGTCTTGACTCGGACTCGACTGTATTTGAAAACCAACGGACTTAGTCTCGACTCGGACTCGACCCTTCAAAGACTCGGTCTTGACTCGGACTCGACTGTATTTGAAAACCAACGGACTCTGTCTTGACTCGGACTCGACCCTTCAAAGACTCGGTCTTGACTCGGACTCGACTGTATTTGAAAACCAACGGACTCTGTCTTGACTCGGACTCGACCCTTCAAAGACTCGGTCTTGACTCGGACTCGACTGTATTTGAAAACCAACGGACTTAGTCTCTACTCGGACTCGACCCTTCAAAGACTCGGTCTTGACTCGGACTCGACTGTATTTGAAAACCAACGGACTCTGTCTCGACTCTGACTCGACCCTTCAAAGACTCGGTCTTGACTCGGACTCGACTGTATTTGAAAACCAACGGACTCTGTCTTGACTCGGACTCGACCCTTCAAAGACTCTGTCTTGACTCGGACTCGACTGTATTTGAAAACCAACGGACTTAGTCTCGACTCGGACTCGACCCTTCAAAGACTCTGTCTTGACTCGGACTCGACTGTATTTGAAAACCAACGGACTCGGTCTCGACTCGCACTCGACCCTTCAAAGACTCTGTCTCGACTCGGACTCGACCCTTCAAAGACTCTGTCTTGACTCGGACTCGACTGTATTTGAAAACCAACGGACTCGGTCTCGACTCTCACTTGCTTCCTCAAAGACTCGGTCTTGACTCGGACTCGACTGTATTTGAAAACCAACGGACTCGGTCTCGACTCTGACTTGCTTCCTCAAAGACTCGGTCTTGACTCGGACTCGACTGTATTTGAAAACCAACGGACTCGGTCTCGACTCTGACTTGCTTCCTCAAAGACTCGGTCTTGACTCGGACTCGACCCTTCAAAGACTCTGTCTCGACTCAGACTCGACCCTTCAAAGACTCGGTCTTAACTCGGACTTGACTGTATTTGAAAACCAACAGACTCGATCTCGCCTCAGACTCGACCCTTCAAAGACTCTGTCTCGACTCAGACTCGACCCTTCAAAGACTCTGTCTTAACTCGGACTCGACTGTATTTGAAAACCAACAGACTCGGTCTCGACTCGGACTCGACCCTTCAAAGACTCGGTCTTGACTCGGACTCGACTGTATTTGAAAACCAACGGACTCGGTCTCGACTCGGACTCCACCCTTCAAAGACTCAGTCTCGACTCAGACTCGACTCGGCATAGGCGGTCTCGTCCCCATCACTACAAACCGCCAATCCTAACTATATGCTAATTTTCAATCGTATTTGACGATAATGGTCCAGACAGAACTGTGAAAATGTAAGAAATGTCGAAGGTGCCTGAATAAATTTAGGTTTGACTGTTCAGTAACGCAACACAATGCTAATTTAGAGCACGTTTTGTCTCTGCACAGGTTGTGTATATGATCTGGAACGCGCTGAACGACCCGTTGTTCGGGTATCTTCAGGACAACTCGGGCCTGCAGTGCTGCTCGCGCCGGAGGCTCTCGATCCTGTACGGGGCGCCACTGTATGCCCTGTCGTTCCTGCTGGCCTGGTTCCCCTGGAGGGAGTACGAGGAGCACGACTGGCTGAGCGGCGTCCACCTCACCGTGACCCTGTGCGCATTCGACGGCCTGCTCACGTTCGTGCTGCTGGCCCAGTGCGCGCTCTTCGCGGAGATCTCAGGACACCACCAGAACCGCCTGAGGCTGATCAAATACAGCCAGGTGGCGTCTCTGCTGGGCTCATCCAGCGTGCTGTTCAGCGGCCTCGTGTCCGAGAACATGGAGCGCTTCGCTGTCTTCCAGGGCTTCAGCGTGTTCGTGGCCGTGCTGGCCTGCGCTTGCATGCTCTACACGGGCTTTCACAGCCAGAGTCGCTTCGACTGTAAAACCCCCGAGGGAAAGGAAAGCTCTCCTTCGCTGTCGGTATCTTCTGTGCTGTCCATGACCTGGCAGATCCTCACCAACAGGGACTTCCAGCTGTTTGTGATCATGAACTTTTTCCAGGTGTTCTTGCTGGCTTTTTACAGTAACTTCACCCTGATTTTTGCCGAGCATCTCATTCCTCAGGACGTCCTGCCACCGCTTGCCAAGAGCATCATGTATGGAGCGGGATTCATCTGTCCTCAGGTGCGTCATCGACTGCTACTAATATGCGACCCTGGGTCACAAAACCAGTCACATGTTGCACGGGTGTATTTGTGCCAATAGCCAACAATACATTGCATGGGTCAAAGTTATCGATTTTTCTTTTACAGCAAAAATCATTAAGATATTAAGACCATGTTTCATGAAGATATTTTGTAAATTTCCTACCGTAAATATATAAAATATTTAGTTTTTTGAGTGGATGCAGCACAATCGTGAACATAGATGGACAACTTTAAAGGTGATTCTTTCGATGTTTCGATTTTTGTTTTTTTTTGCACCATCAGATTCCAGACTTATATTTAATTGTTTCTCGGCCAAATATTGTCCTATCCTAATAAACCACACATCAATGGAAAGCGTATTATTCTGCTTTCAGGTGATGGATACATCTTCATTTAAAAAAATGTACCCATGTGACTGGTTTTGTGGTCCAGGCGGTCATACTTGGATTTGAATAAACCCCAACTGTTTCAAGGATAGAAAGGTCTTTATAGCTCTCATCATCATCACTAAAGGTACACTTTTTGAGCAATGTTGCCATCAGCCAGTTGAGACGCAGGGCCTGTGACCGATCTAAAGTATCCAGATACAAATGTATTCCCCATTTTCAATTTGCCTCATTTTCATTGCCCACCAACATTGCTCAAAACGTTGCCCCATGTGTCATCACCTTAAGGGTGTGTTCGCACTTGTACTGTTCGGTTCGCTTGATTTCGGACCCTAAACAAAACATTTCCCCAAAGTAAAGAAAAATCCGTATCACCGTTCTCAATAACTAATAGAGAAAAATCTTTCCACTGTAATTTAGAGTATTGGCAAAGCCAGAATAAATGCGCTGGGTGCTTACAAAAAATAAGTTTGTGTTGATATCTTTTTTGAATTTCTTTAAGAAGGTGTTGACAGGATACACGACGGACAATTCAGAAGGAAAAGTACTTAAGTATGGATTGGGAATCAGCCAAACTTTCCTCCCGACACAACTCTTAAAAAAAGGTTCAAACATTTACCGATGCTCAAGACGATGCCAGGGGTGTACATTTTTATTATTTTGTTTTAAAAGATTGTCCAATGCATATCCTGCAAGGGGTGTGCAAACTTCTGAGCAGACCTGAAGTGCGTCACACTGTGGTTATTATGATGACCATAGACCGTTTAAGAGGTCCTGTGTTGTTCTGCAGGTGCTGGTGTTGTGCAGCCAGGACCTCCTCCAGAAGCTGGGCTACTACAGACTGATCCTGATCAGCTTCTACGTGGAGGCCGGATCGGCCGTGCTCATGCTAATGCTGGGTCCGCACAGCTACTATTTCCTCGCATTGTTCCTCACTTCCAGCATGTGAGTAATTACACAGCGCTCCGGGATAGAGGAATACACACGAGATACGTGCTTCCTACAAGAGAGCGTTCACTGGGGAAGTTCATGCATTTCGAGATTTACGACTACTTTCAAAAATAGAGTAAAAACTGTAATATTGTGAAACAATATTACAATTTATTCAAAATATGCTAAACTGTAATCTATTCCTGTGAGGAAAGCTGTATTTTCAACATTATTACTCACATGATCCTTCAGAAATCACTCTAATATGATGTAATGCTCAAGAAACATTCAGTATTATTATTAACAATGTTGAAAACAGTTTTTGTAAGTATTTTTTTAGGATTATGTGATGAAGGGAAAGTTCAAAACGACAGTGTTTATTTAAAATAGAAATATTTTTAATGTAAAACCTTTAATGATTTTTATGTGCCTTTGTCATATAAAAGTATTAATTCCCCTTTTAAGTTAAAGGATTAGTTCACTTTAAAAAAAAACGTTTGCTGATAATTTATTCACCCCCATGTCATCCAAGATGTCCACGTCTTTCTTTCTTCAGTCGAAAAGAAATTAAGGTTTTTGATGAAAACATTCCAGGATTTTCTCCATATAATGGACTTCAATGGGGTCCAAATGGTTCAAGGTCCCAAAGACAGTTTCAGTGCAAACTGCAAACTGTTCAAAGGGCTTTAAACGATACCAAACGATGAATAAGGGTCTTATCAAGGGAAACGATCACTCATTTTAAAAATAAATAAAAAACGTTTAAGTTTTATAAGCTCAAATGCTCGCCTTTCTCTGTTCTGTGTGACTCTCCTGTTCGAACTCGTTCATCAAAATGAACAAATCTTTTTTCGAGTCATTTCGTTCATTTTGTTGGTTGAATAAACCAAATGACTCAAAAGATTTGTTAATTTTGATGAACGAGTTTGAACAGGAGAGTCACGAACGCTCATCACAGAACAGAGCAAGGCGACCATTTGAGCTTATAAAACTTAAAAGTTTTTCATTTATTTTTTAATTGACTGCTTGAGCCTAACACATCTCAATAATAGCCCTTTCAGGCTGTTTAAATGGGGTGACCTTCTTCCCGTCAGAAATACATATTTTCCACCAAACAACCCCTTTAAGAAATTAGATTAACAAAAAGAAAAAAAGAAAAAAAAAAAGAAATTATTAGATTTTTTACCAAATAATTTACATTTGTATGCCCAATATCTGTGTTAATTATTGTAATTTACTTAATTTCCCATTGAAAAAGTAAAGTAAGGGATTCCTTTTGAAATTGCATTAATACTGTATAGACTATACTCTATATTAAACAATCGTAACATCAAAATGTAGCGTCTAACATTAAACTCTGTTTTTAACATGACCACTTTGGTCAGTTCAAGGATAATTCATGCAATTGTTTTATTATTTATTTGAAAGAATTAAAGAGCAGTTTCGTGTCTATCCGTGTATTGTTCAACTGGTCGAGGTTGATGCGGGATTTAGCAAGTAATTAGTAATGCAATACTTTATAGAGAGAGTAATTAGTACAGATATCTAATTGCACTGTTGAATAATTAATGACACACAATCTAACAATGTATAGTGGTAAACAGTCATTTTTCCCTACAGATATTTGGTTATTAAAGCAATTTAATGTGTGAAAAATGTGACGCAGACGTCATTGAACATGTATAATGAGATTCACCTAATGTTGTTTTTTCTACTGAAAGGGGAATCAAATCATGAATCAAATTTCCCTTGTTTTTTTTTTCAGAGTTCTGTGTGTATGAAATGGTCATAAAAAGTGTAATATTACCATAGGCTGAAAAAACCTTGCTAAATGGACCTAGAGATGGAACGGATTAATATTGTGATTTTTCTGATATAATCTGACCTGTGATGCTGCCTGAATAATAATCATAATCACAGTTGTTTCATTGGCCAGAGGAGAAAAGGTTTTTTTTTTCTCCATTCTGTCACTGATGTAGTTTTGCTTCCTCGCCACTGTCGCCTTTTCCCACCTTTGTTGCCATTGGCTTTTGGCTTGCTAAGTTGGGGACATTAAATGTAACATTTAATTCAATATTCAACAATATTATCGATCTCCTGCATTGACTGCATTATATGAGAACTGAGTTGGACAATGACATCACATTTTCTCCAGAGAGGATATATATATATATATATATATGAAGAGTTCAGATGCAAAAGCCTCTAAATGCCATTTGAAATTTTCTTCTTTAATGATGATTTTTATCAAACTTGTATATTTAAGTTCAGTAAATTCACTTAAATGGCAATGATAATTACCTATTAATTGTTATTTAAGTGAAATTACTGAACTTAAATATACAAGTTTGATAAAAATCATCATTAAAGAAGAAAATTTCAAATGGCATTTAGAGGCTTTTGCATCTGAAGTCTTCATATATATATATATATATATATTTATATATATATATATATATGTATATATATATTAGTGTTGTCACGATACTAGAATTTCTAACTTCGATACGATACCTTGAAAAATATCGATTTTCGATACCACGGAGAAAAAAAACTGCCACAATATTAAGGGGGAATTTTATTTTATTTAAAGCTATAACAAGTCTAGAACATGACAATGAGGTACAATTTTACATGAACAAAAATTTCCTGAGTTCTATCTTTTAATATTTTTTAATTGGACCAGAGCCGTTGTATTTTTATTATAGCCTACTGTTAGGCCTATCAAAGATTAAAATATACTATAATGACATAAAAGCACTTAACAGTATCAAATTGTAGGATAGAGTGTCAGTAATGTATAATAATAAGATTAAACATTCAATTTTCAGTTAAAGGCATTTCATTATTGAATTTATGTTTTAAATGCGTGTCCGTTTGTCAACGCACCTTTGGAGAGAAGTGAAAGTGACCGCTCCGATACTTCGGGAAATTATTATTGGTATCGTTCAGATATTTCAGTATCGAGATTTATCGAAATATCAATATTTTTGACAACACTAATATATGTAGTTTTACCTGGAAACAAACAGAGTTTATAAGAAAAAAATAGCATCACAGTGCAGCGTAAGTTCCGTGATGTTTCATTTCGGTTGTAAAAAAAAAGGTATTAATTTAGTTATATATATATTATCTCTGTAAAGCTGCTTTGAAACACTCTGTATTGTAAAAAGCGTTGTATAAATAATGACTTGAGTAATAAGTGTGTGAATGTGTGATGGTGAATAGGGTCCTGGTTCAGGCGTCCTTCAGTCTCTTCAATCTGCCGCTGGCGGACATCATCGACTCGGACCTGCAGAAACACAAGCGCAGGTATTCATCTCTCCATCGTGTGTTAAACGCATCTCAGCTAACTCTTTCTCAAGGCACTATTAGCTATGGAAGATGAATCTCTCCTGTCATGATGATTTAGTTTCCTCTGAATGTTTCCAGCTCTCCTCTCTCGTCGATGGTTTTCGGGACCAACGCTCTGTTCACAAAGCCGGCTCAGTCTCTGGCCCCGATGATGGCCGTGTCTATCCTGAACCAGTACGGCTATGCGGACATGCATGAGGTGTCCAAGGCCGTGGATCCAAGGTACGATATACCAATACAGACAAAGCACAACAGATTGTCCTGGAGTATTTATTTCAGCACATAAAGTAACTTGGGTTGCATAGCATAACAAAACTAGGCTAACACTAGCCTAGACTCCACCCCATACATAAAATACATGTTTAAACATGTTTTCAACACACTTTAAACTTGATAGGGTGCGACTCCTTTAAAGGGATACTCCACTTTTGTTTGGAAATAGGCTCATTTCACAACTCCCCCAGAGTTAAACAGTTGAGTTTTACCATTTTCAAATCCATTCAGACGATTTTCTGATATTTAGAAGAATATTCTGCTTATTTTGAGTAAGTAATTACTTAAGTATGTTCTATATAGTGTGAATGTAGTCCAGATGTGCTTCATCCACCATGTTGTCATTATCATGTGATCGAACAGCATCAGTTTCATCACTTCAGTGCCATTCACAAATCCTCTCCCATGGCCTTATGGGATAGTAAAGAAGAGAAAAAACGTGTATATACACACTTCAGAATCTCAGAGGAAGAAGTAGATCTCTTTTATGAGTACTGTGTGTGAATATAGACAGACTTCTTTTGTGACAAACTGTCTTTGTATCCGCCACAGAATAAAACATTTTACAAGATAATTGCGAGGTTATATCTCACAATTCGGACTTTATAACACGCAATTGCGTCTTTATATCGTGCAATTGTGTTAAAATGTCAGAAATGCGAGATATATACTCGTAATTCTGAGGAAATTGGACTTTATAACTCTTAATTCACAAAATTACGACATTATAAAACACATTTGCGACTCTTCAACTCTTTGAAAAACCACGCAATTCTGACTCTTTTTGATTTCTGACTTTTTACCGCAATTATGAGAGAAAAAAAGTCATAGCTGTGAGATGAAAAGTTGCAATTACTTGTAATTACTAGTTTATTATTTATTCTGTGGCAGAAACCAGCCTCTATAAGTAGCCTATGGTCTGTCCTCCTCTAGTGGTGTAAAGGTGCACTGCGTTCATTTAACATTGCTCTCGTCTTCCCAGTGCTCTCCAGTCCCTGCACAGCATGATGTTTTACCTGGTGTGTGTGGTGCCGCTGTGTGTCACGGGCCTGCAGGTGCTGGCCTGGAGACCCTTCTCCATACGGGACAGCCACACACTCGACCCGAAGTACATCGATGGCTGAACTCGCGAGTGCTGGAGTGATTTCATGTGTCACGGGTGCTTTATATTCTCACTGAGAAGGGGGATTTGTAGATGAATCAGGGGTCTCTTATTACAGTCGGTTTCTTTAGAGGTGTGGATATGCTCAGATTACGTCACACAAATGCAAAAAAAACTGATAAACTCAGTGTAAAATGTAGCAAACTGTACAATGTGATCATATGACATAAAGTGGAGGCGACTTGTATTTCCCCACTTTGCAATAATTAATAATTTCACGCTACTCGCCAATAATGTATGTAAAAATGTTGTTTTGAGCATATGTGATTTGATTATGTGTGAAGTTTGACACAAGAGACATGACAGACAAAAGTGAGTAAATGTTTAGTGTCAGAAAGGACCAATCAGATTCAAGTAATTCAGAGACAGAGAGTTGTGCAATATGTTATTAATATGTGACATATATGAGCTGCTAAAGTGATTTATGATTGTAGCTACAGATCATAAAAGACCAAATCAAAGTTTAAATTGTATTGAATTAACAGTGGCTATTAAAGCTATAATTGAGACTTTTATCTGAAAATAAGTACATGAGCATTCTGTTTTTTATTTTTTATTTGAAAATGAATTTGATAATGAATGCATATCTGTGCCTTTCCTGTTGATCCACTCAGAGCACTTTTGGTTTTGTATGTATTTATTATTTAGTAAGTGGTTTTAATTTTTATGGTTGGTTCTTATTTTTCTGTCAATAAACTTGGCCTTATGATGAAACACTGTGTGAATTTGATTTGTACATTATGAAACAGAATGCAATTATAATATAGCCTACAATAAAGAGTATTAGGATAAAATACATGTGTTATCAATGAATGGAGAATGATAAGAATGGTTCTGAAAATTTGGGCTGAAATATTTACTTAATAGTCATGATATAACAACAACATGATAGTGATAGTAATGGTGAAATGTGACTGACACAGATTTTCAGTCGTGGTTTCAGACAGTTTTTTCTTATTAGTTAGTTATCTTAAATGTGTCATTTTTATATTCATAATATTTTCTTAGCCGTTATATGCCGTTATGTTATGGAGAAGTATTTCATTTGGCCTACTCTTGGCCTTTTGTACTGAAGATTTGTCTTTTATTTTGAAAGCATCTCTATTGTGTTTCGTATTCCGGCCGCCATGTTTAGCCGGAGTCACACAGTTAACCAGAAAAACTGCCTTGTCCTGCATTCGCCTGTAGTTTTACTCTTTTATATGATAAGTCCATATGTGTTTTTGACCAAATTAATTGTATAACCCCCCTCCCGTGCCTTTGATAAGATGTTGAGTAACTTTGGGCAGTGAAGGGCCGTGTTCATCCTCGGGTAAGTGTTGCTGACACCTGGTTAGCGTTAGCTTCAGCTTCAGTAATAGTGAGTTCATCTTTATCAGTCAATAGATCGATCAAAACATGGCGCAGCAAAGCTCCTTACATCAATACAAGCAACATTATTGGGACTCATCATATTGATTTATGTGTGCGTATTGACCTACTTTACTCTCGGGTTTGTGTGTGTTAAAATTTATCCTGATGTTGCTGTGGGATGAGACCTGATTTTGGGTGAACTTTGAGGAGCATCATTTGAAAAGATTGACCAGTTTGTTCTTGGTTATGGGGCACTTTGTTTTAACACTCTATGGTGAGAAAATTGCAATTAAAATTAAATAGTCATGTTTAACCTATATATATATAATATATATATATATATATATATATATATATATATATATATTAGTAGTAGTAGTACTGTCGTATGGCATCCTCTTCAGCCAACAAAGTTGAAATCTATTGTCATGTGCTTGACATTTTTGGCAACAAGGAAGTGAAGGTCACATGCTGTCAATGCTCCATAGTGAGTTCATTTTAGTCAAGAAAATGTATATGAATTGTACATACAAATTTGCTTTCTAAAGTTGTTGGTCATTTTTAAAGGGATAGTTCACTTTGAAATTAATTTTTGATATGTTTTAGCCTACCTCAAGGGCATCCAAGATGTAGATGTCTTTGTTTCCACAGTAGTTTCAGTAGTTTTCAATTTCAATAGGATATAAACCGTTCTTGTCTGTCAGTCATATAATGCAGGTCTATGGTCACCACCTCAAAGAGCATGCACAGAGAAGTCCATATTAAACATAATTTAATGACTCGTAAATGTAAGTATCTGATATGTGAAATTTGGATGTTGATATCAACAATTGAATTTGAATGGCAGCCTAGTATGGTGACATTAAACTTGTGAAAATTCAATAACAGATATCAAGAACTATATTTAGTACAAAGTCAAGAATCTGCTAGTGATGAGATCATTGATTGTTGATGTCAAGAATTAAAGGGGGGGTTGACTGCTTTTCTTCTTTGCATGATTGTGTTTATGGGGTGAAATATAACATGTATTCGTGGTTTTTCTTTTTTTAAAAGTCTTATTTTTCATAAACTTCACATTTATTGTCAGGCCCGCGCTCTGCTCTATCCTCGAACGAGCGGTCGACTTCCTGAGTCTATGAAACCACTCCCTCAGAAACACGTATTGGGCTCAGATTGGTTAGTTTGGGCCGGTGTGTTGTGGTGATTGGCTAAACTGTTGCTCATGTTGTACGGAAGGTTAACGCCCATTACCTTTACGGGCGAAACGTGCCTGCGCTCCGGTCCAGATATAAATAATGGTGTCGAACTGCAGTATCAGTTTGAGGCAGAATCAGACAGAGAAAGCCGCGATGAAGAGAGTCAAGCAGAACCTCACCACACACTGCTCTTACTAAATGTTTCATGATGATTTGCTACATTTTTTTAACTTTATACACGTTTGTTTTACACAATAGCATCTGACTGGCAACAATAGCAACTAACTGGCTAATAATATTATACTCAAACAGGCATTAGTTTACATTCTTCATCAAATCAAAAATAACGTCTTAAAGCATACATGAAAAATACGTTTAAAACATTAGAACTTATACAAAATTCAGGTCCATAATGTTTGTACGCATTTGTCGTAGACACAAAATAGCATAAATAGTAGCCTAGTGGCTATAAAGCAAGTGCTGGCATTTGAAAAAAATAAAACACAAGGCTACGTCTGGAATTATACATACATTTAAAATGATTAAGTCTTGGCCTACTTACAGGTTGTGGCCCAACAACTGCTGCATCTGGTTTTAAAGTTGGAACTGCTTCATGTTTTAGTAACAGTTTCTTGTTGAATCCGGTGTTGAATTCTTGGAGATTCTGGAAGCTGTCTTCCGTAAAATGCGCAGCACAGAGAACTAAATTACGATCGTCATTTTTAGGATCATAATCAAACATAAATTGTATCCATTGTTGACGAAGTACAGCGTCCGCGGGAAGCTCAAACACAGAAGACCTGACAGCTGGATGAACACAACACACTCGACGAGCCGCAGAAATATGCGCATGCCCTTTTTTTGCATTTTCCGGAGGGAGGGGTTGATGCAAATATATGGGTTAGTGTCTAAAACCCAACTGTAGTCCCAATCAAGTCATTTTTGTAGGCAATATACTTCCTGATTTTTAAAAGACGATATCTCTGCTTACATTAAACTTTCAGCGCTGCAACTTTGCTGATACTGTTCATGCACCAACAGCAACATTACACACTATTTAAAATGAAAAAATTGAAATTGCAATCAACCCCCCCTTTAACATTATTACTAGTGAAAATTGAATTGTTGATGTCAAGAATTCATAGTGGTGCATGAGAATCTGGATTATGCATTTCTGCTCAGCTAGTAACACTGGACATCAACCACACGGCATATGCTAATATCTTTTCATATACTGTCTACTTTTTATGTAAAACATTTCTATCTAATAATGTGTTAGACAGGACTGTTAGACTGTAAACTAATGAACACAGAGAATGTGATCACTGTGAGCTCAGGCTGTCAAAATCAAGGTCACAACCACAAGTGCGGCTTATAGCCGCTTTCCGACCAAGTAGTTACAGGAACTTAGTTATAGGAACTGTCCACTAAACAGTTCTAAGAACTACTCTCCCTCAAACTCGGTTTTGCTGCTTGCGTTCGCACTGGCCAAGTGGCCATAGGAACTGGTAGGAGGGGTAAAGGAGTGACGCAAGCACGGCGACGACGGTCATCACTAGACGTAGCGTGGCCACGTACAACAACAACAAACCAGCATGGAGGACGCTATTGCAATGTTCCTGTTCAGCCTTGCTGGGACCTTAATAACGGAGTACGAACGGCGGCATTTGCTAAAACACACAGCGTATGGCAGACAGTGTGCTACAAGTTCCGTGTTGACAGTGGGCGTGACTTATAAGTTGAACCAATCAACGTAGACCTAGGGAAAGGGAACTAAAAAAGTCCTTGCTCTTGACTAGGTACTGAAAGAATTATAGGAACTACGGTCTGAGGAACTAAAAAATCCCCAATTTAGTCGGAACACGAGAAAAAAGGGTTATAGGAACGTTAGGTTCTAGGAACTGCAAAAATCCCTCCGGTCGGAAAGGGGCTTATGTCACTTTAGAGTTCCTACTGGCGGTGTGAATGCAACCAGGAAAACGTTCCTAGGGGAACCATTAGTTATCGGGGGAACCACTCTGGTAGCTAGTTCCTATAACTAAGTTCCTGTAACTACCTGGTGCAAAAGCCCCTATTGACTCCTGCATTTGTTTTCTTTCAGTCATGGACCCTCTGAACCAGGTCGATGTCATGCACCTTCAGGAGTCTCGTTCCTCAGCTCTGGATCTGTCTGTGGGCTGCAGGCAAGGCTCACTAAACTCCATGGAGGCTTTGGATTTGGTCAAGAAGCCCAGCTGGTGTGGCATTTCCTCAGGGAGCAAAAGCGCTAACATGTCCGAGTCTCGGCCCGGTCGGTACATCACTCGGCCCAGCAAACAGACTCCACCTGATCACCCAGAACCAGGATCAAAGCACCATGGGATTTGCGGGACATCATCCCATGGCTCCTACTCTATGCCTTTACCCCTGATCAATGGATTGCCATCCGTGGCTCACATACTGTCTCAGTGCCCACCGACACACCAAGAGTTTGAGGATGACACAGATTACGACGTTGAAATGGACGAAGTGTTGACGCAGGCGAAAAGATTTCGCAAGAAAGTATTAGAAAACCGCACACTAGGAAGTAGGATAGCACACAATGCATTCGAGACACATTCATACTTTAGTGACGCACTGTCACAGACTAAGGGCTCATCACGTTTACCTCAGGATGCCAACGCCGCCGCACACACACTACGTTCCACCAGCTCAGCGGTTGAGTCGACTGCCATTGAAACCCTCGCATCCGAATGTACCGCCGCTAATGAAACGTCTCCCTGCTCCGCTGAATACATCTCCAGTGACGATGACAGTGACGTCATTGAGGTGCCGGTAAGCAACTCCAGATGCAAGACCCCTTTGAACTGGCGCTCCCGAACTGAAAGTGTTATCGTTAACGACATGAGCAGTGGAAGACGAAACACTTTCTCCACGAAGCAGGAAGTAGACTATGATCATCAAACAGACAATCCCAGAAATGTGAACAACGTCTACGCAATTGATCAACCGATCTTTGAAGGACGTGACGGTAGGACTGGCTCCGGATCCAAATCGCTGCTGTCGTGGATGGAGTCGGTCTTGATACCCATATCCCCGCAGGACAGCGATCAAGAAGACATGGATGCTGCTTATTCCCAAAACTTCCCGTCTACCTCAGATGGTGAAAACATGAGCGTCTTAGCGTCTCCGCAGATTGGGGCGTCTTCAACACCAAGCCATTCCCGGAAGACTACGGCCTCGAAAAGTAGGAAGAGGACAAAAACGAGGCCCAAGCCCAGGTCCCAATCCAGTTCCCAACCCAGGTCCCAACCCAGGTCCCAATCCAGGTCCCAACCCAGGTCCCAATCCAGGTCCCAATCCAGGTCCCAATCCAGTTCCCAATCCAGTTCCCAATCCAGTTCCCAATCCAGGTCCCAACCCAGGTCCCAACCCAGTTCCCAACCCAGTTCCCAATCCAGACCCCAACCCATATCCCAACCCATATCCCAACCCAAATCCCAACCCAAATCCCAACCAAATCCCAACCCAAATCCCAACCCAAATACCAACCCAAATCCCAACCCAGATCCCAACCCAGATCCCAACCCAGATCCCAACCCAGTTCCCAACCCAGACCCCTACCCAGACCCAAAACGACCAAGCAGGCGAAGCCATCACCAGGCAGTAGATCCCAACCCAGATCCCAACCCAGACCCCTACCCAGACCCAAAATGACCAAGCAGGCGAAGCCATCACCAGGCAGTAAATCTGGAGCAAGTAAGGCTAAGAGAAAAAGAAAACCTTGGACATCTGGAGTGTCATCCCTGTTTTCTCCTAAAGAGCCGGAGATCAAACTCCGATATGCAAACCACAAAGAAGAGAAGACTCACGCCAGGCTGGACGGCTTTGCCCCTTACATCCGTATGAAGTACTCCTCCTGCTCAATCGTTAATTTTAGGGAAGAGGATGATAATTCGACAAAGAAAGGGTCCCAGCAGACGGTCTCGGGAGTCATCCCGAAATCCTCCTGTCTGCAGCTGGGTCGGGTCAGCTCCGAGGCCAGCCTCCAGGTCCGGCGCTTCTGCTGCCTGTGTGGACGGGCCGGGAATGTCGAAGGCCTCGGGGACCTGCATGGGCCGTACTACTCCAGGGGAGCTCAGCCAGTCTGTAAGGTCGACCGCAGTCCCGAAGCACAGAAGCAGGACGCCGACTGCAGTGATCCCGAGTCCGTCTGCAGTTTAGAGGATGGGGCGTCCCGGGCGGTCCCACGGCAGAGGAAGGAGAACTGCTCAGGGAACGTGGAGGAGTCCGGGGTCTGTGCTGAGCTCTGGATACATGAGGACTGCAGCATTTGGACGGCAGGCATCTTTTTGGTTAAAGGGAAACTCTACGGATTGGAGGAGGCCATCCGACTTGCACAAGGAACAGTACGTTTTTATTCCCCAAAATTATTATTATTAAAATATCTTTATATTTTACATTACGAAAGTGAAACACGTTTTTTAATTATTATTAAGATTTGTTGCATTGTAAAATTATTGTGTCTGTCTGTCTATCCAGTCTCTCTATCTATTTGTTTGTCTGTCTGTCTGTCTGTCTATCTATCTATCTATCTATCTATCTATCTATCTATCTATCTATCTATCTATCTATCTATCTATCTATCTATCTATCTATCTATCTATCTATCTATCTATCTATCTATCTATCTATCTATCTATGCATCCATCCAGTCTATCTATCTATCTATCTATCTATCTATCTATCTATCTATCTATCTATCTATCTATCTATCTATCTATCTATCTATCTATCTATCTATCTATCTATCTATGCATCCATCCAGTCTATCTATCTATCTATCTATCTATCTATCTATCTATCTATCTATCTATCTATCTATCTATCTATCTATCTATCTATCTATCTATCTATCTATCTATCTATCTATCTATCTATCTATCTATCTATCTATGCATCCATCCAGACTCTATATCTATTTTTTGTTGATCTATCTTGTATCTGCCTGTCTGTCTGTTTATCAATCTATCCATCCATATGTCCGTCCATATGTCTGTCTATACATTTGTTTGTCTGTCTGTCTGCCTGTCTATCCAATTGTCCGATTTTTGGCCATAGAGATACACTCACCGGCCACTTTATTAGGTACACCTGTCCAACTGCTCGTTAACACCTAATTTCTAAGCAGCCAATCACATGGCGGCAACTCAGTGCATTTAGGCATGTAGACATGGTCAAGACAATCTCCTGCAGTTCAAACCGAGCATCAGTATGGGGAAGAAAGGTGATTTAAGTGACTTTGAACGTGGCATGATTGTTGGTGCCAGAAGGGCTGGTCTGAGTATTTCAGAAACTGCTAATCTACTGGGATTTTCACGCACAACCATCTCTAGGGTTTACAGAGAATGGTCCGAAAAAGAAAAAAACATCCAGTGAGCGGCAGTTCTGTGGGCGGAAATGCCTTGTTGATGCCAGAGGTCAGAGGAGAATGGCCAGACTGGTTCGAGCTGATAGAAGGGCAACAGTGACTGAAATAACCACCCGTTACAACCAAGGTGGGCAGAAGAGCATCGCTGAACGCACAGTACGTCGAACTTTGAGGCAGATGGGCTACAGCAGCAGAAGACCACACCGGGTGCCACTCCTTTCAGCTAAGAACAGGAAACTGAGGCTACAATTTGCACAAGCTCATCGAAATTGGACAATAGAAGATTGGAAAAACGTTGCCTGGTCTGATGAGTCTCGATTTCTGCTGCGACATTCGGATGGTAGGGTCAGAATTTGGCGTCTACAACATGAAAGCATGGATCCATCCTGCCTTGTATCAACGGTTCAGGCTGGTGGTGGTGGTGTCATGGTGTGGGGAATATTTTCTTGGCACTCTTTGGGCCCCTTGGTACCAATTGAGCATCGTTGCAACGCCACAGCCTACCTGAGTATTGTTGCTGACCATGTCCATCCCTTTATGACCACAATGTACCCAACTTCTGATGGCTACTTTCAGCAGGATAATGCGCCATGTCATAAAGCTGGAATCATCTCAGACTGGTTTCTTGAACATGACAATGAGTTCGCTGTACTCAAATGGCCTCCACAGTCACCAGATCTCAATCCAATAGAGCATCTTTGGGATGTGGTGGAACGGGAGATTCGCATCATGGATGTGCAGCCGACAAATCTGCGGCAACTGTGTGATGCCATCATGTCAATATGGACCAAACTCCCTGAGGAATGCTTCCAGCACCTTGTTGAATCTATGCCACGAAGAATTGAGGCAGTTCTGAAGGCAAAAGGGGGTCCAACCCATTACTAGCATGGGGTACCTAATAAAGTGGCCAGTGAGTCTATATATCTACAAGTGTCTTTGCTGATAGTTATGGTTAGCTTGGTGGTTATTATAACCATAGGCTGCACAATGCTGTTGCATTTTCTTAGAAAATCATTGATTTTTTAGTGTGAGTGATGAACAACGTCATGTTGACTGTGCCAAGATGGTGGACGAATTGACTTGTCTGGAGCAGTAAATGCAGTTTCTATATTTATTAGGTTTTTTTTTTTAATTATTTTGGTTAAATATGCTACTGAACATACTCCTGATAGATATTATGAGATTATTTCCTTCAAACATTTTATTAGGCTGTCTCACTATTAATGCAAGTAGGCAACACTCAAGGACTTGTAAAGTAAAGTTTTTAGAATTTTTGTTTTTGCCGTGAAGATGCCTCAGATGGTGAATGGCATTAAAAAGCTATACTATAAACAATGCTGTCACTGAATCTTCAGAAGCTGTAAGATGTGTGTGTTGTTTGGTTGTTACAGGTGTGTTCGCACTGTCACATGGTTGGTGCCACTCTGGGATGTTTCTTCAAAGATTGCCCCAATAAGTACCACTTCCCCTGTGCCCTGCAGTCAGGTAATGCTCACGGCCTCGTCACACCGCACCGGCTGAAACCAAGGAATGCAATGTACAAAACATTTTGTTTGACATTAAAACAACATTGTTTTAAGCCAGTGGTTCTCCACCCTGTTCCTGGAGCCCCAGAACTGCACATTTTGAATGTTTCCTTTTTCTCCTAAACGGACGTGCCTTCTTGCCTTCATACTTCTGTGGAGGAATCTTTTTTTAATCCCAAAACTTAGGAAGTGACTTGTTGCCTTGCTGCCCTATCAGGCAGTGTTTGTACATGAACACTAATTTCAGATTTCACTGAGACAGTGTTACGGTTTAATGCTCTACAGCAAAATAGATCACGCTTTGGTGAAAACAGAGAATTTTTAATGACTACAGTAATAATTGCTGGCTAATAATTCAAAAGTGGAAAACATTGGTCAAAAACATCGTCAACTACAACTTTAGCTCAAATGTCACAGAATAGAAAGCACAGGATTGTGGGATATTTAAGGCAGTGAAGGATACATCTATGCTGCCTTTCATCAGATGCCTCTCAGAGACAGGGAGTGAAACTAACATTGCATTCGTCCTCCAAATGCAGAATTTTTAAGCTAAAGAAAAAGAAAGATGGCGTCTAAATGATGTTTTTGGTGGTCAGATGCCGAAAGGCCGTGTGTCCACCAAAGCGTTTTCAGCTGGCTAAAAACGCTTTGGTGGACACACGGCCTTCCGTGTGTCCACCAAAGCGTTTTTAGCCAGCTGAAAACGCTAGACGCTCTGCTGAAGACGCCGTGCTTTGGGCGCTTGAGAGCGTTTTGGCAGCGCAGCGTTTTTTCTGTTGAGACGTTTCGTTGCTATGATACAGAATATATGCAGCAGTTGAATGTTGTGACAGTTGGTCTGTGTGGTTTAGTCCCGCCCCTCCTCCACTGTGATTGGACGGCTGGGTAAGAAGTGACAGTGATGAGCGCTGTGTTTAATCCAAAGTTGAACATTTTTCAACTCACAGCGACCAGTAAAAACGCCGGGCGCTCGGCGCTTCAGCGTGAAAAAAACGCTCAGCGCCTCGGTACGCTCATGGCGTTTAAAAAACGCGGCGCTCCCATTGAAAACAATTGAAAACATACGCCAGGGGCGTGGAAAAACGCTTTGGTGGACACACGGCCTAAGTGTACGTTTTTGACCAACATTTTCCACTTCTGATGTCATTTCTGACGAGAAATGATTTTTATAGTAATTAACTATTCGATTAGTTATCAACAAAGCTCATCTATTTTGCTGTAGATCATTAAACCGTTACGCAGCCTCAGAAGTCTGTTGTAAATCAGTTTCATTGTGCAAACGTGCCTGCAAAGTCATTGCCTCATTGGGCAGCGAAGACAACAAGTCACTGCCAAAGATTTCAGATCAGCACCAAAGTCCTGGGCTATGTTCAGACTCAGTCAAAATCAGACTTTTGTGCATATCTAATTGAAATCTGGCAAAAAACAAACTTGGAAACTGATCAGGGATGCGTTTCCCGAAAGCATTGTTAGCCAACTATGGTCGCAAGTTCCGTCGTTATCTGCATAGTTTAACGAGTCGGTGTTTCCCAAAACAATCGTTCCAACGAACATTCGCAAACACCATCGCAAAGTTGTGTGGTTTAAACGACAGCTCTCGACCTGTGGTTAGAGGCATCGTTTCTATATTGCAACTAGAGCCAGACCGATATTATCGGCCGATATTGGGCATTTTCTAAACTATCGGTATCGGCAGTTATAATAGCCGATAAATGAATATTTCAAAAATAAAAACGGACGAAACACGCTTCAATCATCTCTCCTTGGCCTGTTATATTGAAAATGTATGTTTTACAATTGGCAGTATGATGTCATCTATTGCTTAATTAAGGCTCATCATAGACTAGCTAACCACAAAGCTAGCTAATGCCATCAGTGGAAGATCGCTAACGTTAACATTAATGAGCTTGGAAACCACAATGAACTTTTTCTGCCTAAATAAAGTAATGATTAGTGTATTTATAACTAGCATATCTCTAGTTACAGTCCCTGCATTGTAAAATGTAAGTTATACTTGCGAAGAGTGAACATTTAGACATAGAGAAAAAGTATCAAACGTATCTTGTGCATAAAAGTTAGCTTTTCTTTTACACGTGTGTGAAATCCAACGACGCCAAGTGTGCGTTGCAGACTGTCGTTCTGTAATGGATTTAGAATCGCTAAATAGTAGGTTTTAGAAGGCAGGCAGCAACTGATGATTGAAAATGGTTTGATGGAAAGAATTTAAAAAGTGCAGGTAAAGGGATAAGCAAGTTAATTATGTAATTATAAGGTAGCTTATAAGGCAATTTAGGGACTAATTATTAATTTATTTATCAGAACTTTAATATATTTTGATGTTCCTCTGTTCTGTTGTGACAATAAAAGAAACAAGTTTCTTTTTAAAATGCTTTATCATATTATTTTAGTTAAAACTCATAAATAACTACAAATAACTAATTTTAGGGAAATCTGTTAATGTTTTGTTGCATGTTTCTGAAAAGAAAAATAAAAAAAAAATATCGGCCGATATATCGGATTTTAAAACCCAAAAATATTTGTATCGGTCTTCAAAATCCTTTATCGGTCGGGCTCTAATTGCAACACATCTGGACGTAATGAATCCTTATCTTGAGCAAAATAAGCAAGCTGACATTCAGTTCAACCGGTGCCTTTTATTTAGAATACATACAAATGTAATTTACGTCTTTTAGTTTGTCAAAAGATTGGAAGTAACGTGTTTGAAGAGTGCGCATGTGCGAACTTACTATACTATGTAAGAACGAGCCAAATACTGAGTCTGGTAATAAAGCAAAATAACTGAGAACAATTAGAAATAGTCCTCAGATGACATGTCTGTAATTTATATAAAACAAATCTAGCGTTAATTGGATCTCAAACAGTTTCATTAAAAGTAGTTATTACTCCACCACGTGCGAAACCAACGTGGTTGAACGATACTTTGCGACAGTGGGTTTCGGGAAACAGTCGTGACTAGCTAGTTGATTTCTCCAACGATGCGTCATACTATGGTAGTGAAACAGTGAACTATGTCATTGTGCGGGAAACGCACCCCTGATTGGATTTCACGTGGTTTATGTGACTTTCTCACGACACGTTAAACGTCAAATGTTGTTTTAGAGAACATGCTGAAAATCTCTGCTGAAATAAGGCTGTTTTTGTGTAGCAAAGTGCCGGACGAACGGAAACTGACAATATATCATGTAGAGACATGTTTTGAAACCGGCGGAGAAGACAGCGCTAAATAAACCAGTCATACCAGCCTCCTACGCTTCTGCCGCTGTCTCGTAACAGGCAGTCGTCCAGCGCACCGGCTATATGTTGTCATGATATATTCCTGCTGTTGGTGTTGTTGACCTATACTTACCAACGCAGTGTTTCCTCTAGGATTTTTCCAAGCTGTGGGGGCAGGCCCATTTCCCCGGTGGGGGGGCCTTGTCTCCCCAAAGTATTATAATCGATCATGCGCATCCCGTGTGCAGAATGATAAACTTGAAGCAACACCAAGTCACAGCAAGCAATGCTTCACATTGAAAAGAACATAGCGAAGGGATTATATCTATAATATGCTTAGTAGGGCTGCACGATTTGGGGAAAATGTCATATTGCCATTGCAATTACTGAGGTCAATATTGCAATTGTGATATGCGATTCCGATATAATAAAATGGTTTCATGAGTCCAACTTGCTTGGTTCTAAAGTAAAATGCACACACAGATTAGTGATCATTCTGTGTATTAATGTTTATTTCTCAACTCAAACTACAGACAACAACTAAATGATTGATAACACCTATAATGATCAATAAACCATCAACCAAACCATCATTACAGTGAAAGCTATCAACTTTTTAAAAAAAATTATTAGGCTAAAAAAATTTTTTAACAACTTTTAAATTAAGTGAACTTCAAACAATCCCCACATAAACCCATAATAAAAACCATATTTACCTGTGCCCTTCCTGTCTTAACAGGTAGGATACAGAAATTGAATAAAGTTATCAAACTTGAATGAATTATAAATTATATATAGAATAATCCTTATTAAAGCTACAAAAGTTATTTAGTCAAGATCAGTGAGTAATTTTCTAATTTCCCTTTGTTCTTTTAACTTGACTGACAGAACGCTTTATTCGCTGCTGGCCCTTTAAGAGCACCCGTTGCCGAGACGCGGATCTCACATGCGCCTCATAGCACAACTCTTTTTGTCCATAAGACTTTTCTTACGTTATGAAGATACTCGACAAAACGACATTTTGGCATAATTGTGTGTGTTATTGTTCGTTCAAGCTCGAAAGAGAACTGTAATCTGGCACGCGTCAGTGCATGCGCATTATGGCGCGCGTCTCATTTAGGGCATTCACAGGCAGCTTTTCAGTTCTTGTCGTGCAAAATGCGAAAAGGCATTTGCACGAATAAGAGCAGGATCGTGTAACACTAGTCAAAGGATGACAAAAAAGAAGAGATGCTGCGTTAATAGCCCTAATTTGTTTATTTCGTATAAAATCGCGGCATTTTGCGTTATATAATTGCATAGGTTTGAGATCGCTTTTGCGATTGCGATATGATTAATCGTGCAGCACTAATGCTTAGTGTATTCTATATGCAACAGTTTTTTGAGCCTTTTCTTTTAACAGTTTTAAATTTCAGTGCGCATGAAGAACAATAGCACTCTCTCGACTCCATGCTGTAATCTCACATAAAGGGAATGTGAAAGGGCAATAAACTCCACTCCAGCAAGATAAAGTCATTTTATGAAAACCATAGACCTTTATGCTTTATCTACAAATAAAGTATAATAATGGGAATATTGACCTTGAAGAGAGTGTCGTCGTGTCGCAAACGAACGCGACGCGCTGTGTGAATTCTGAATGGAGAATGACTGAGGCGAGATGACTTCCCGTTAACTTTAACTTAGCGACTAAAATTACACATTATGCAATGACTTTAGAAGTCTTGGAATATAGGGTGAAAACTTGATTGTGCTTTACAAAGTTTTTTATGCCTTTAGTGGGGCTTAACAAAATAACATAATACTATGCAGAATATCGGACGTCACTAAGAAGCTGCAGCCGTGGCGGGAGGATTTTAAGTGTGGCGGCCCGCCACGGGAGAATGAATGTAGAGGAAACACTGCAACGAAACGCCCTTGCCATAAAAACCCATGCAGATATTCTGGGAAACGAAAGAGAAGCATGGACACAGTCGACACAAAAATCAGATCTGGATGGATGTGGACAGTCAGTCATTTAAGATACACAAATAATCAGACTTGGAGTCTCTACTGATGAGCTGATATGTATTTGATTGAGGAGACATTTTGGGAACCACTGTTTTAAATCATTTCAGAGCAATGGATATATTGAGCTTAATTTTAGCTGTATTGTCCAGCTTTCTTGTAAGGCTTCTGCTTATTTCCCATTTCTGGCTGTTCTGGAGTCTCGTTTCGAACACTCATCTCTGTTTTGTGTGTTTTTCTCTGCTGTTTCCCCACAGACAGTGCGCTCAACGAGGAGAACTTCACCATGAGATGCCCGAAGCACAAGGTGACTCAGAGATATGGTTGTAGTTGAGTTTACGTTATGAAAATGACATGAGTTTGCAGCATAATAGACTGCGGTATTGAATTCCTCAGCCTTGTTGTCTTCCTCTTGCATCATCTTCAGTGCTGATAACGATCGCTCATGTTTTTGCCTTCTCAGAATAAAGCATCCAGATTGAGCGTCAGCAGGCTGAAGAACAGATGACATCTGTTCAAGGTATTTTACTCACTGCTTGTGCTTTCATCAGGCCTTAGAAGTCTCAAACTGTTTTATTCATTTCGCTAGAGGTCAATTGTCCTTATTAGATCATTAAGATTTTTTTTTTTTTTTTGGCTTTGAGAGCAGAAATTGTAATATTCCTTCGCGTTTAAGTTACGGCATCTTCAGCTTCTTTTTTTTTTTTCATTATTAAAAACAAACATACAAACAAGCAAGCCCAGCCCTGATGAGAAACAGTAAATCAAAAGTAATTAGGGCTGTCACTATCAATTATGATTATTTTGGTATTCGAGTAATCTGTCGATTGTTTTGGTCGATTAATCGAGTAATCTGTCGATTGTTTTGGTCGATTAATCGAGTAATCTGTCGATTGTTTTGGTCGATTAATCGAGTAATCTGTCGATTGTTTTGGTCGATTAATCGAGTAATCTGCCGATTGTTTTGGTCGATTAATCGAGTAATCTGCCGATTGTTTTGGCCGATTAATCGAGTAATCTGTCGATTGTTTTGGCCGATTAATCGAGTAATCTGTCGATTGTTTTGGCCGATTAATCGAGGAATCTGTCGATTGTTTTGGCCGATTAATCGAGGAATCTGTCGATTGTTTTGGCCGATTAATCGAGGAATCTGTCGATTGTTTTGGTCGATTAATCGAGGAATCTGTCGATTGTTTTGGTCGATTAATCGAGGAATCTGTCGATTGTTTTGGTCGATTAATCGAGGAATCTGTCGATTGTTTTGGTCGATTAATCGAGGAATCTGTCGATTGTTTTGGTCGATTAATCGAGGAATCTGTCGATTGTTTTGGTCGATTAATCGAGGAATCTGTCGATTGTTTTGGTCGATTAATCGAGGAATCTGTCGATTGTTTTGGTCGATTAATCGAGTAATCTGTCGATTGTTTTGGTCGATTAATCGAGTAATCTGTCGATTGTTTTGGCCGATTAATCGAGTAATCGGATATTTTTTGTAGTAATAAAACAGACCTAAGCAAACAATAGCCTTTAAAATGAATCAAAATACATATATAAATAATAACAATGAAGCAGTAATAATTGTTTCAAATAAAGGATCACAATTAAGTAATATTATTATAGTTAGGAAAACACTGTTAAAATGCATAATATAATATACATAATGTACACTAGGCTATGTTTTATAACAGATGCCTGCAGAAGGGCTGGTGTTGTTACACTTTACAGCAGATCAAAGCCTTTCTGCAATTCATGGATTCCAGTATTTTTGGATACAGTACCTTTACCCTCCGCAGTAGTTGATTGGGAGTATTATAATAACATTATTAATAATCAATACTCATCAAGGCATGGTGACAGACAGATGTGCGAGCTGACAAACAATTAAAATAAAAAAAATACACACTTAGTCATTGTGCTTTGGAGTTTATTCAAAATTATAAATGAATGTGCTACTTTAACTAAATACATTAACTGGCACATTTGGTATTCTGTCAACACAGGCTTTGATCCTGAGTTTAGGTGTAACATCAGTAGCGAACAGCCAATCACATGCTGATAGAGTTTATAGAATATTAAGAATTTAAACAAATGTACACAGGAAGATTTGTCGTCTTTTGGGAGGTGATGGAAACTACAATCGTTGGCAGGATCAGAGACGGGCTCTGGCAGGATCACTCTGATTTCGTTTTCAGCTTATGTTCAAAACAATCACGTTTAAGCCACTGAATTAGTTTAGTCCGGTTATACGTACAACCGCGAGCAGCACATGTTGTCCCTGTGCTCCGTAACGACATCTCTCATAAAGATTTGCGTCTTTAAATAGTAAAATAATTCTCCGAAAAACAGCTAGCCACTTCGCTAACTAACACACAAAACACCATTGGAATGCTACTTCCGCCGCGTCACCGGAAGTTTCACCCACTTTATTTTTTACAGGAGCGCCCCTCGGAAACTTGTGGATAAGCCACTTACCATATGACATTCTCTTCTCTTGTTTTGGTGACAATTGCATTATTCAGCATTAGTGATAACTCAAACAAGTTTATATTTACATGTTTACTTGACAACGATGCACTAAAATAAATGAAAAGTTTTTCCTTTTTCTGTGCACAGACGACAATAGGGTTGGGTAATGTTTTAATTTTAACTATTACGATTTCAAAATCGAATTCGATTTTTATTCCAATAAGGTAAAAAATAAATCATTCACATTTAGTCTTATTGCAAAACAAACTAGCAAGACAAGTAAACACTCATTAATTAAAAAATAACAATAATAAAGAATAAAAAATTAGCAATCGCAACAAATACAACAGAACAAATATATGATTGAAATACAGTGTTTTAAGTTTTTCAGGTAATCAAAAAAAAAACTCAATACATTACAAATATAGTTACAAAAGTTATTCAGCCAAGAACGAGGGAATGTTCTCTTTGTCCTTTGTTTGGTGTTATTATAGAGACGGCAGCAGGAATATTAGGCTGCTGTCATTTTAAGAAAACAGCGCGCAAGCCGTCTTGCGCTTCAATTGTTTAAAGTCATAATGAAATGCTCAGAGAAGGAATCGAAATTAAAATTTTATAACAAGTATCCGATTCCTGACCTCAAGTATTAGTTTCCAGACTTGGATTGTCATTGTCAAAACGATCCCCGTTCACACGGATCCTTGAAAACGATTAAAAAGCCTGTGTTATTCATGCCAGGCCAGTAGTTGGCGATGTCACTTTGTAAAGAAACACTACGCGACTATGTAATACGCATGAACATGGCGGCACAGTTTTCACAAGTTTGTTACGCAGACGATAATGGTAAAGTTTTCAAAAACATGCACTTTGAAACTGTTTTCAAGGTTGTTTTTAGGCCCCCAAAGCGTTATTGTTGTTTAAATGTTACTTTTTTTTGTTTTTTAGTTGAAAGCGGCCCCTAAAGTTGTGTTTTTGATGGTGTATTGCTCATTTGTTTGTTGATGTTCCTCCACAGGTAGACTTCAGCAGGTCATCTTGCCTGAAGTGTTTACAGATTGTTCCAGTTGATTTCGTACTTCACGTGTTTGAGTGTTTACATGTACTCTCAGGCGTCTGAAGGCACAGGATGAGCTGAACGAGGGGTACCCTGGACGACGCTGGATAATTCTCACTGCATTCCTCTGCTCTTCAATATATATTCAACATCTGCACATCTCACGACACAAAGAATCTCCATTTCACTGAAGGCCAAATATCTCATTCCGCTTCAAAGCCCTTTGAAAGTTAATAATGAGAGCCTTGTTTCATTTGAAGTTAAAGTACATATGCACTGAGCAGAAGTGCTCGTTTTTTTGTTTAGTTCGTCATTCTTATATGAACTCCAGCATCTCTTTGTTCATTAATGCAACATGAACTGACCATTCTTTCACAGTGACGTCTTTATCAAGTAAAACTGAAATGCTGAGTCTCCCGTATGCATTAGTATGTGAACATATTTATTTCTATTTATGTTTAATGCATATGTGTGTATTTATTTGCCAATGAACAGAGTGTGTTTTAGCACCTTGTGTGAATGCAGTTGAGGAACATTATGATTTGATGTTGGTTACAGCTACAGGGTGCTTTAAACATGAATCTGATTTGAGTTTTGAATCTTGTGGCCTGGGGATCGAGGACGGAGTGTGTAGGATTTTCCATTTCACCCGATGCCTTGTGATGTCTCGAGCTGTTTCAATAAATGTTTTTATGTTCTACATTCCTAACATGTGACTGTGTGACTGTACTTCTTGATGAGGTGTTGATGCACATGTTTGTCCAGATGGTGGTGCCAACAACCTTCACAATCAAACAAACTCGGGTCAGAGAGCCGTTCTCAAAAAGATTATTGCTTGCCTCTGTTATAGCAAATGAAACTACTAAAACTAAGCCTTTGTTACGCGAGTGGTCCGTTGCTTGCACTACCTTTTTAGTTAGCTTGTACTAGCATAGCATACATCTACCTGATTAGCCTGCTAGCTTAGCTTATATCATATTAGGTATGCGTTTTGCTTCCAATATAGTTCCCAATTACATAATTAACGTTTGTGTGTACTTTTGTGTAAAAAATAATATTTAATTATTTTTTACAGAACATTGTTGCAATCAACACTCCACCTCACTCTCCCTGCTAATTACTGAAACATGTATCAAATCAAAAATGCAAAAAAGGTCTGCGCTCTTAAACTCTTTTATTACAGGAGATTAAGTTGAAACTTAATCTCCTGTCTATAATAAAATAGTTTTAGAGCGCAAAACTTTTTTGAATTTTCGAACATAGTAGGCCCCAACAATCATTATCCTTATAAAAAATACACAGTTGTGTTATTATATGCAATACATATGGATTCATTTTATATTTCAATCCTGTTCTTTGTGCACTTAAAGCTTCACTGTTTGATTTTTACCCCTATTCTCAATTCCGATTTCGCTTTAACTCCTACGGTGGCCAATGTAGTCGAAGATTAACATGGCAGGCTTCCAGTTCGATGAGTGTTATCTCAAACGTAAACTCGAAAGGCGAAGCTTGAATTAACGGGTATGTCCCTCTTTGGCTAATGTACTTTCAAGATGGAGGGGCAACATGGCGACCGACATTAGAACCCCTACCTGTAAGTATTTTCAATGGCATATTATACACTCACGAGAATACTTTATTACTTGAACGAAGTAAATATACATTAATGAGCACATATTTTTGAAAGAACTAAGTGTTTTAGCTAAGAAAGTTACTAAGAGTTACACAGTGTAGCGTTAATGTAATAGAAATCATACAATAGTTAAATAGGTTATAATTATTTGAGACATAGCACGATAACAACTTTTGATTTCCGCCTAGGTCCTAAAGGAAATCAGGGATGCTGTCTACAGTGGATACGGCGCGACGACAGATTTCCAACAGTAAGCCGATGCCCCTTTTTTTAAATTTTTGACCTAAAGTGCTTCTTTATACTTCTGATACGAAGGCCAAATGGATTAGCAGAGATTGTTTTGTCGCATCCGGTGTGGACAACTTGTAATGTTGCGTCACAAATCCAAAATGTATATACCCAGATAGCAAACTGACATTGAATCAACGTGGAAATATGACATCGAAACAACGTTGATCTGACATTGTCTTGCTCATCGAATTAACGTTGAACCAACGCCAGACACGTCATTCTTTCAAAACTAACGGAAAATCAACTTGAAATCAACGTGTTGTTTCAACGTTATGAAAGCAAACCAATTTTTGATTTTCATTTAGCTTTGAAGAATGCCGCGTCTGACGTTGGTTCAACGTTAATTCGATGAGCAAAATCAACGTTGTTTCAATGTCATGAGAGACGTCCTTTCCACGTTGATTCAATGTCAGTTTGCTGTCTGGGTAAATATATATACTACATTTATAAATTTACTTCGTGATCATTAGCGCAGTCTTATCCCAAGACGTCATATTACTGACGTCTTGGGACGCCTTTTGACCATACGTCAACATCCGCCTTTTTAGGGTACCCATGAACGTCGGTTAGATGACGATCCTGGGTCGTCGTCATACAACTGACGCTTTACCTTTAACGTCAGTTAGGTGACGGGGTAGGTTTAGGTCTGGATCCGATAACGTCATCTAACCGACGTTTAAGGGGAACCCTAAAAAGGCGGATGTTGACGTATGGTCAAAAGACGTCCCAAGACGTCAGTCATATGACGTCTTGGGATGAGACTGTGTTAAAAAGTAGGCCTACGAATATCCACCATGTTGTCATTATCATTTTGCCCTACCAGAGTGGTGCAAGGTATGACATCACTTGTTGGCCGAATGGGCTTTGGTTAAATGTCTGAATATGGTCTGTGGTGAACACAAGCTCAAGACACTTTCACAACATTTCCAGAGCATAAAAAAGATGGACAACGTGTCTCCGCTGGGAATAGTGTGTGGGTCTCTTAGCAGTGTGTGCACACACTGATCCAATAACAGTGCTGGTGTTGCTCAGACCTCTGTCTCTCACTGCTTTTGAGAAACATTATCATGTGTCTCACTGTAAATGAAGTTTGTTCTGTGATAGTCTGTGAGTCAACATGTTAATTCGTACTAGAGAAGCACTATATATATACGTATCTTATCTGAATTTCAGACACCTTCGACATTTCTCACATTATCACAGTTTATTCGCTATAGTTTAGAAATTAATAACAAAATATTAGAAGAACTGAGAGTTCTCAGATCAGTGGATATTTGACTGGTTTTGTCCGTCCTTCTGTTCGACTCTCACAGTTGAATTATGTTGAATATCTGTCAGCTGTTAAATTTAACTACACAATTAGATAATACCAGTTTAGATCAACCGATTACCAAGAAATGCTTCATGTTGTTCAGTCTGTGTGTAAAAAGAGCTTATTTATCGGTTAATATATCGGTTATCGGCTTTCAAATATTAAGAATTATCGGTTCATATTCATACAAAATGTTCATATCAGTGCATCCCGAACGTTGTGGAAGCTCTGATCGAGACATTTTATCAAAAAAAGTCTTAATACGAGGTTGTAATTTCGTGGAGTTTCTGAGTTCTGGAAGTAAAATGACATTATATGCAGACAAGGCGAGATTTTTAATGTCTTTTAGTGTCAAATGTAAATAGTTCAGTAATAAAACATACGTTTATGTTATTAACAATTAATTCAATGTAATAAAAGCTTGAAGTCGGCAGGGCAGGTTTTGGATGACAGCCAATGTTTTGTAAAGAGATCATTTCAATCTTTCTGTTAGCTTGTTGAAAAGATGTGTGAGTTTTGTCAAACGCATCTTTCTTCGTTGCCGGCCATTCAAAAGTAGGTGACTGACTCAAAAAAGCATCCAGCATCAGTAACTCTAATAACTCTTGAAGTGTCAGGTTAATAGAGTGGAAAGGTTATGATGGCCTTACTTTTCAAGAACAGCACCAGGACTGTCTCGCAGCGTGTTGACTAATCTGTGCTTATCTCAAAGATTAACTGTGAGAAGATGAGAGAGAGAGTGATGAGATGCAGGATCTGTCACGCCTGCGTAAAGATGCTTCATGGCTGATGCCTGCAGCCTCTCTCTCTCTCTCGTTGGATCTGGGCGTTAACATTATCTCAGCTCACAGAAATCCAGCAGTATAATTTGTTCTTTGCCTTTATCGTAATCTGCAGCTCTGCCCGAAGGTTTTCTGATCATCCACAGTTTCTCACTCTCCCTCCGTGGCTAAGGATCGTTTCCCAGCCTTATCGAGTTGTGATGTTGGAGTAAACAGTCTAGCAATGGGGTTTTTTTTTTTCCATGAAATATATCTGCATCATCTTCATCTTGTTATGCCATGTGCCACAAAGCATTTTTTACCAACTTAAGACATAAGTACAGCTTTATATTTAATAATCATAATAAATTAAAATATGTCATATTTAAATCCAATATCAAAAAACTGTAACATTATAATCAAGTAGTCATCAGTAACATCAATATAAGTACACTTCTTTAAAGCACGATAAAAGATTATTAGAACATATACAAAGTATATATATATATATATATATATATACCTTTAAGATTTGAAGTGCACTTCTTTTTCACTAGGGAAAGTTTTAGGTTGACTAAAACTCAATAAAATCTCAATAAAATATGCCAATTGCTGCAAATTACATATTAAAGGGGTGATGAAATGAGAAATCAATTTTTCCTTGAGCTTTTGACATCTAAGAGGTCATCATATTATAAAAAAATCCTGTAAGTCCAATAAAAGCTTGCTTATTGACGCCAGGATCAGCAAACGACTCGTTTTTCAAAGTGGGGAACTATGACGTCAAAGAGGTTAAAACAAATAACAATTATAAAAAAAACTCTTATGATTAGCTAGAACAAGACATAACGGTAACATGCTAAGATGCTAGGCCCTAAGGATCAGTTAGCATTGTTAGCATGCTTGTTAGCATGTTACTGTGCATTTACTAGGGTTTTCTGGGTGGCTGCTTTCAGACTCATATGTGAAAAGAGCACATCCCCATATTCCTTTAATATTCTTTTGGTTTTTAGTTTGTACTAAATTTACAAATAATAGTAGGCTACACAAACATGCTGGGTTATTTCAACCCAAATTTGGTCAAATATAACTTAACTGTTGGGTTTAAAATTAAACCCACAGCTAAGTTTGTCTATATTTGACCCAAATTTGGGTTAAAACAGCCTAGCATTTTTTAGAGTGTACTGATAATGATCCAAAATGTGCAGGAAAAGGTTGTTTGATTGTGCTGAGATGATCACAGCAATCAGCATGTGTCACCATGTGTTCATGTGAATCACTTTAAGACCCATATGCTACCACACACTAATAGTGTCTGACGAATAGCTCTTGCCACCAGCAAACTGCACTGGATTTCATCGTTTGAAAGCTTTAAAAGAGGCTGAAATTGGGATCTTGGAGTCCTGTTTTGGGCTTTAAGCATTAACAAATCCAATGTGACGAATATAGATCAAGCTGTTCTTCCAGTTCGGACTGCCTGTTCTAGGCTGTATTTCACTGCCTCCCACTGATAGACGGATGACATTCAAAACGATCTCCTATTGAAATCCATATAAATCCTCTTTGTGCAAGAACAGCCACTGAGTCACTTCTCTAGATGTCCAAAAAAAGCGCCACAGGGTTGTGAATTTTTCGTCTTGCTAAACCACGTTTGGCTCTGAGGTGTGAACGAGGTGGGATGGTAATAACGTGGGAGTTTAGTTTGATATATT